AAAATACATGGTTTACTTCAGTAGTTTATAATTCACAGTGGCATTTAGTGGGTGGAGTTGTAAATTAGTAAGTGGACTGTTGCCACAGCAGAGTAGGCTGCTGCTCTGCAAAGGAGAAACTTTGCTAAGAATAGGAATGTGGTCACGATGATAATGAACAAGGGCTCCACATGCCTGAAACGTTGATGGGAGATTGGGAGATGGTTGTTGGATGTTTAACAGCTGCTCTAGAAATTAGATGTTATCAAAGATCTGCTTGAAAGATTGAACTGGATGAAAAGCACGCAAAACTTAACCAGTAAGACCTGGTTTCAATTTTTAGTAGCACTACTGAAAGGCAGAATGGCACATGAAATTTTTATGTTGTCAGTGAATTGGAAGGTACAGTTTTACAGCCAACAAAATGCTACGTTTAGCCTGCTGCAAGAGGGAGGCAGGATTGCAGCAGTCTCTACACATAAAAGGATCTTTTCCCTATTGCTCTAAAATTAAGTAGATTGATATGCCAAGAAAGCATTACAATATGTTAATCAGGTATTTGATCTGGTTTGTCAAACACTCAAAGAAAAAAGTCAGTTGCTTCCTGGAAACTATATTAATGTTCCAAATAAACCCAGCTTTTTAAGGCACTAGATTTGTCTGAGGGGGAATGATATACTTATCACTAGGACGATTTGCCTTTGGACTCTTAGTAGCTGTAACAGCCTTATTCAAAGGTTGAAAGCCAACAGCATTACACCAGAAATCCTGAGTGAAGGGTGCAGATAGATATGGATGGCAATATAAAACATGCCACCTTCAACTTTTGGAAACTTTACTACTTAGTTACAGCTGCTGTATGACTGCTGTTCAGCCAGAAGAAGACAGGAAAATATTCTGAACCCAATTGCATGAACTGCATGGTTGCAATAATTTCATGGTTTTGACTGCTTAAATTCCCAGTTGGTGGACATCAACACAATGTTCTTAATTTTCTGGCCTCAAGATACATTCTTGAGCTATGTCAGCCTTAAAGTGATCCACAGGAAACTTTCACTGAAGAGCAAAAAAAAAAAAAAATCTGTGTGAAATCATTGTGTCTACTTTACATGCTGCACAACCCTTTGCTATGGGGCTCTGCTTTGATCCCTGTTTGTGCTGGCCAGCTCCAAGCCCTCCAGAGCAGAAAGGGCTACGCACAGATGTTACACTGCTAATCAGCTCATCAGTGGAGAAAACCAGGTTTCTTCTCCTGTAGGAAGATCACCAACAAAGTGATTTTGTCATAAAAAGTCTAATCTGACTGTTTCTGAGTCAGAATACAGCACACGTTTCTAGCAGAAGACATTTTGAGCTGCAGTCCCTCCCCAGACTTTCCCAGATACCCAAATGTTGAATTCATTCGCTATTATACAGATAAAAGAATTTCTCAAAAGAATTGCTGGGCTGGTAACCCATCACATTCCACTGAGGACTCATCCATTTGGAGCTCAGTGATTGCTGTGTATTTTCTATAAAGATATCCCTTAGGGAGAGATTTGTCTGGTACAAAATAATTATCTCTGGTCTTACTGGAAAGACTTCATCTAACAGGAGAATTTATAGCAGCTTTTGTGACATAGACAGAAAACAGAAAATTACCTTTTATCAAATTTAATCCACTAATTAACTACTTGGCCCACAGGATTAAAGGGCTAGGGTCCCAGGTAGTCCTAAGACTTATGCTCTTTGGTTTAAATTCTGCATTCACACACATTAACAAATCTAAAGCATATAAGATTGCAGTAGGGAGTAAGGAATCCAGGTCAGCTCTTTAAGATCTGCCAGTTTCAGGACTCTACATGCTTACAATTTAGCCTAATTAAAACCATGAAATTATAATTAAATATGGAAATGTACTGGCTAGGAAGTGAATCTGTCACAACCTCAAATCACTTCATTGATGATAACTCTGAAATCCTGTCCCACTATGAAATGTGTGCAGCAGTGTATTCCACACTGACAAAGGGTCACCCTGTAGATTGAACGTGGTGTCATCTTTAAATGTGGTTTTGAAAGCTACCAGCAGCAGAGGGATTTGTTTCCCAGATCCCGACTCGTCCTGCCCAGCTGATGGCTGCCTGGCCAGCAGGAGCACATTGCTGATGAGGGGGTTTGAACACACCCCACCCTAACAGCTCGTTAACTCCTGGCTCCCTTCTCTGTGTGCAGACCAGTCAAGAACTGAAGCATCATTTTAATCGTGCTTATCCTCCTGGCAGAGTGTCTCTTCAGCCAGCTATCAATGCCTGAACAAACTGATTTAAAAGCAGATCCATAGCAATCACACTTAAGTCATGCCTGGAAAACTCCACAGGAGAAAAAAAATTAATTCATTAACATGAGTAGAAAACAAAGCAATATATAGATATGGGGGGAAATCGTAACACTGCAGGTAGCATTGATTTACAAGAACATTTGGCATCAGTTCAGACATGGGTTCTCTCACATACTTTGGATCATGCTGAGCCAGCTTCTGTGAAAAACTGCTACAAAATCCTTTCAAAATCAAAAAATTGTACAACACATGCAACGTACATTTGACTGTGTACCTTAGTAAGCCTACAGTAAAAATAGGCTCTTACTAGGAAATCTAAATAAACTGGGATATGGAATACAGGGATTTAATATTTTTTTCTTTCTCTGCTTTGTTCTTAACCAGCAAGAAATCTCTTTCTACTGGAAGAGCTCATCACTGAAAGCATGGTCAAACTTTTATACAGAATCTCTGGGTTTTACTGCTTTTCTGGCCAAAGACTTTCTGCACAGCAGAAGAGAATCATTCCTGCTTGCTAAGGACCCTGTGAAAGAGCAGTATCTGACTAAAAATATAATCACAAAAGCAAGCACAGTATGGACCAGGAACTTTGGGTCTCATACTTTTTCTGTCCATATTTAGAGCAGTAAGATGCTTCATCTGACTGTACTTGAAAACTGCCACAGTATATTTAGCTCTTTTTTTTTGGAAATGACAAAATCACATTGGCAAAAAGGCTGAGAGGTAAGATGCTGGCAACACCATCCTTACCAAAGGCTTCTAAAATTATCTAGAGATGACAATACCCCCAAAAGCAGGCATAATTAGTCTATTTCTTACTATAAAACTGTGTCACTTTGCTACGTGATGCAGATGATAAAAATAAACGGCTTTAAAGAAAAGTAGTAGAATCCCAAAATGCAGTCAAATCAAGTACAGTTGTATCCAAGAATTTTGTGGCACAGCACACAGATTTCTATACTGCAAAATGAACAAGGCAAGAACTAATTTAGCTATACATTACACAGTTACTAAAAATACAGGCAGCAATCTCAAGTAGATGCTAGATCCTTCAGTAGTTAGACAAAGTTTTATTATTTTCTTTATTATAAAGAAATAATCCACAATAACTAGTCCCAAATTAATTTTTAAAATGCAGAAGACATGATAACACCAGATCAAAAAGGAACTGAATAAAAACAAATGATCCTTGTGATGATCAGCCTCATTTCTACCATGCAAAAAAACCAACCAACCAACCAACCAACCAACCAACCAACCAACCAACCAACCAAACTAACTAACTAACAAACTAACAAAAAAACCCAAACAAAAAGGTAATGGAGAACCATAAAAAACCCCAAAAATTAACTAAAAAGGAAAAAAAAAAAAAAACAAAAACCCACAAAAAACCCCAAATCTAATTTCCTGAATAGTAAAAAAATAGGCCGTAATCAAGTTACTGTACATCTTTGTATATCATGTCCTAATGAAAAGAGTAGAGTTTTTTAATATGAGCTTTGGAAAACCACTCATGCACTGGATTGAACAATTTATTTCTGAACTCTTTCTTTCATACATGATGACTTTCAAAAAGGTTTTGATATTTTATAAGTAGCACAATCATAACTAAATTGATCCAAATATTTGTGTGTGTGTGTGTGTAATGCAAAGCCCCCAGATTTAAAATAAATATTTGCTACTAACATGTCATATAGAATAAATGACAATTTTATTTTTAAAAAGAGCACAGAAGCAGATCATTAGCACACATCAGTTTTGTTAAGATGGATAAGCATTTGCAAAAAAAAAGGTCCATATTCAACACATTACTAATAAATAACAATGAAATAGAATGGCTATTGCCTATGCCTAAACAAACTTATGATTTTGGTCAAAATATATATTATTTAAGTACACACTGTAAAACACATAAATTTAACGGAATGTACTATTTTTAAAAAACATGTCATAGCATACATCTACAAAACTAATTAGAATTTAGAACTGAAACTAAATCCAGAATTGTTTCTTATATTAGCCCTGTATCAGCTGAATATTTACATGTGTTTTTCCTGAGGCACAATTCAATCTTACTGAACAGCAGCTCCTGAACTCAGACAAATACTTAAATATCTCACTGGAGATGTGTCACCATGGTATATCAGCACATTCAGAGCTTAAACTATGCCTGTATCTAAAATATTTTCCTACTTATATTTATAAAATATTACTATAGTATATTTCTGAGCATAATGAGATGTAGAGGAAAATGGAGCCTTGTGATGGCAACTGTGCCATGTAGTGCAGCAGCGTGGGCTATATTGGTGCTAAACTTCAGGGGGAATAAGGGGAAAGAACCTAATGATCCCAATTTTTGCCTGTTTTAATAGATTAGATATCACTGAATTGAAAGATAATCTGTGACCACCTGCATTTACCATGGGCTAATAGGACTCAGGTAAGATTTTACAGCCCAGGACATTGAGAGACCAATTTTGTGTGCATACCCCACACATACACACCTGCTGCTGCTGTCATGCACTTGGCCTTTGCTGTGCCATGGATAACACAGTGGTTTATAGCAGGAATATCAGCTCCATTCCCCACGTGTGACCAGCCAGTAGGATATACAGTAATGGCTCACCTGCTTCTCCTGCCTACAACAGATGTTTTCCTAGGGAAGAATTAGCATTAGAGAATTTAATCTGTCAAAATAGTCTAAGTTGGCTTTGCCTCCAACAAGACTGGGAACCCAATCTTGACAAGTTTCTTTGCTATAAAATAGATTAAAGAATTCAGCCAAACATTGTTATATATGCATCTTTCAAAAACCGTACATAATTCTGGATGCTCTGGTTCATGTTCTCTGACTTCTGTAGGCTGTTCTCCAGCTCTTTCAAATGTACTTCATGATGCTTTTCATTCTAATGAAAAAAGAGAAATGCATAGAAAATTAGAAGCAAAATATAAATCAATCGAAATAATAATCTAAGACACAAAGTAGCTAATTTTTATAGCTTTATTTACCTCTAAAAGTTTTCAGAGGCTGCACAAAAGCAAAGGTGCTAAAAAAGGCCTCAAAATATTGAAGCGTTCATTTATGTTCAGAAAGGACCTAACTGAATGTGTTTGGATAGACTTAAAATCAAAAAAGCCTACAATAATTTATAAAAATTGTAAATTCAGATTACTGTCATTAACTCAGGAAAAAAAATATTACTACATCATTATGAGATTGATCTGCATCTAATTAAATGTAGATATGCTTCGTGAACACAATTGATCTGAGGGAGATTACAACTTCATTTTTTTTTGTCTTGCTGTGAACACTGTATTGAGTGAGAGCTGTAAACTCAATACTATTCAAGTGATTTGGTTAGCCTGGACATCTGTTAGGTTGATGGGAAATGTCAATGTACAAAGTATATTATCAAGTTAAATTAATTTACTGTTCTGAAAAGTGTGTATCAACTGTATTAATAGTGTGTTTTCAGTAAAAGGAACTTGTTTTTTTAAATGGTGACATGGTAAGTGATTTCTTAAACCACTAACAGCATTATTTACTCACATGGTGAAATAAGCAGAGGAGTTGTTTTTTTTCTTCTTCCCTCTTTCTCACTTCAGCTTCAAGAAGTAGCAGTTTTGTCTGAAAGGCTTGTTCTTTGTATGACATTTTTTCCTGTTCTTCAGCTACCTATGAAAGTAATGAGAGAGAAAGGATATATATGTTATATATATACATATATAACATATATGTATAAATTATAGATATAATATATATATATTTACTCTTAAAGCCCAAATCAATTTATTTTCTTATCTCTTAACATTAATACCTCTATTTCCTATTCTTTCATCTAATACTTATTTCCCATGCCCAGGACTTAAACGGACCTGTAAAATATTCTGGCTAAATTTGAAAGCTGTTTCAATTTGGAAAAAAAAATTAATAAGTGGAACACTTTTTAGCTTATTTTCAAGTTAAGTCAAAATTTTACTTTTTTCAAAACCAAAGAAGTATCCTCAGGCAGTATTGAGAAAAATCATATGGTTATTTCTACATTATTAATCTGAAATTACAACTTCATATATTTTTTCTGATTAAACTAATATAATTCACGACAATCTAAATTCCTACATTTCCTCTTGAATTTGATTTACTGTTTCCATAATTTCTAAAAATGACAAAAGTCAGCTTAATATAGAAAGAATGAAAACTCTTCCTCTAAAAAGAGGAGGATTTCCACACCAATATCCTTGTGGGCTTTTATAACAAAGAAAATAAAAGGTAAGACTAAGCTTTTGTACAGAAACTTTTTGCTGTATGTGTGGGATTTAATATAAGGTGGTTAAAGAATTTTGATTTGTCTATCAAAAAAAAGAAAATAAAATGTTGATTAATTGAAACTTGTTATTTATTTCCATAGGATCCAAACTTGACAAAGAAATTGAATTGTTCCATCCATATTTAAAACATGCAGAAATTCACAGTAACTTTTTCATATTTCTCCCTACGTGCAAAATAGTCTTGTCACATAATTTTTTCTCAAGCTCATTTTTAATGCTATTTTTAAATAGAGAGTAGCAAACAAGATTGAGAGAATACCATTTTTCTCCCTTCTTCCAAAGCACATTCAAGTTGTGTGGTTAATGCATTATATTCTGCCACTCTCTCTTCAAGCTGCAATTTACTGCTCTGAAGACTCTCATCTTCTTTTCTGAGCTGATAAGCAAGTTCTTCATTCTGATATTCCATCTCTCTTAATTGCCTTTATGCAAAATAGATTAGTGCATTATAATTCACTGTAGCAGAAAAGTGTAGCAACTAATTTCAATCAGATTTTTCAAGTTACCTTTGAAGATCTTCATATTTCTTCTGAATGTTACAGATCTCTTCTTCTAAGCAAAGATTGCCCATAGAAGTTACACTGTGGTTATCCTGTGAAAATGACAACTCGTTCTCTAGTTGAAGAGACTTTACACAGGATCTTACTGAAGTAAAGTAAGCCTGTCTATTAAAATCCATCAAAAAATTTAACTGTAATTTCAGACAAATGCTATGCTTTTTCAGACAAATGCTGTATTATAATCAAGTAAACATTATCTTGTATTATTGTATCCTGTATAATTATCTTAAATTAGTAAAATACAGCCAAAGTTGGAGACTAAAATTCTGTGTGAACACTTTAAGGCTGAAAACCTGCTATGTAAAAAAGTCTTTAAAAACTCCATGTGCTGCTCAAGCAGCCTTGTATTAGGAATTGGTCAGGTCTACCTGACCAGCAAAAAAGGCTCCCTTACACCACAGTCACAGGAAGCACAAAAATAACACTGCATATACGTACTGTTATCATAAAAACAGTGCAGCACTGGCAAAGAATTTCAGAAAGAAGAGAATATCAAAAAAGACAATCAAGTTCATGAAGAGATATATCAGCAGCAGAAGCTGAAGGAAGCAAGAAGACAGTCTTCTGCCCAGCATCCAGAGTGCTAAACTGTCACACGTTTTCCTTCAAATCTCAGTAGCAAGGAGACTACTGCTCCTTCTACCACCCATCAACAGCATGTTAGCAATGAACAGGCACATCAATGGCCTGGGGGTGCCATCATTCAAAGGGGTGACCACCACCACTCCTTGGACTACCTCAAGCAGTCCCATCCAGCAACTTGAGCTGATCTGCCTGATTGTGTTTGTCAGAATTACAGGCTGCTCATGTAGCAGACTAGCAGTAGCAGAAATTAGTCCAGCTGAACCCAGGAGAGGTTTTCTGCAGAGGGAGCAATTGCTCAAAAATTAATTTTCCTAAATTCTGGTCATAGAGGTAAGGGTAAAGGACATCTATCACCAAGACTTAATGCTGAAATTTAACTACTGTTCCACCAGACTAGTGATTATATTCCCAATTATCTTGCTATACTTAAGAGGGTCTTCTGCACTTTTTCAGGAAAACACATAGTTAGATTAAAATTACATACATCATTTTATATATATAAATTTTGCACCTCAAAATTAATTATTGTTTAAGTACTCTAAGATTTAAGAGTTTATGAACATTCCTGGAGGAATCAAAAATCAAGAGCAATTAATATAAAGTTTTATATAAAGTTATAGGACCACAGAGACTCACTGTGCTTCAGCTGTAGTTTTCCTCCTGACACAGCAGGATGATTAAGCCCCTTTCCCACCCAACTAACTTAAAAACCTTTGTCATTTGTGCTGTTCTAACTTAAAAGCACATTAAAAATAAAAAGGCAAAAACAATGACAAAAAGCCCAAACTACCCTGCTATTAAAATTGACATCAGAGAAAAAAAGAGTGGAGGAAAATCCATTTTCAGACTTTAGAGAAAATACAAGCATTAGTGTTAAATAGAGCTAAAAATTGCAATTATCCTATTAAAGCATATTTTTAAAATACTTAATCAACTAAAACATTGCAATAATTAATATGTTATACATCATCAAGAATATAATTTATCTGATTAAATATTTTATGGTTTATGAATTAGCCATTAAAAGCAAAACTAATGTAGAATTAAATTATTCTACTAGATACAAACAATATCTGGACTTGCATTTATTTCCAGGGAAGAATTCTGCAACACATTTCAGGACATAAATATTCAAAAAGATCAAGAATATACTCACTCTAAAAGTTACAAGTCTTACCACATTATGAATTCACATAAATACAGTTGGCAACGGTTTTATTTGCATTGTACTATTTCCACAGAAGTTTTTGATTTATGAAAAGAATAACAAAGGAACCCTCACCACTGTCACACATGCCAATAGTAAAAAATGTCCCAGATAATTTTCCACATAATTTTCTCATTTATCTTTAGAAATCAGCATGTTCTAACCACCTGAAGCTCCAGCTCCCTAAGGGTTTTGCATTTCTGTACACAGATCCTTTCCCAGAACAGAAGCTTTTGCTGGTTTTCCTCAGCTGCTTTCAGCAAGCCACAAACATGTTCTAACTCCTTTAACTCAGCCTCCATTTGGTCCCTCACCTGCACAGTAGCATCACAGGAGAAAAATGTAAGTGTAAAACCATAAATTAATTGTTATAATACTTAATGGATTTTCATGTAGGTAATAAAGCTAAAATTCTATACAAGTTACATATCACCTATTTTATAAAATGCTGACAAAGATACAAGTTCTTTTCTGATGCTTAAGAATGTGCTGTGTTCCAGTGTTCAGCTCCATCTGCTGAAAAATTTATAACTCGTCTCTATATGGAGTCTCAATTTTAACTGTTTAAAAAAAGCACTTACGGTAGGTTTGCTTCCATACACAACTTTCACAACTGTTCTGTCAAAAAGATAGTTTCAAAATCATCAACAATAAAATCACATTTTCAAAAGTGATAAAAGAATTCTGGTAGTCTAAAATACTAGCCATACTACTTAGTCATTGAACTAGGAATCATTGCTCAATTGTTTGCAATTGTGTAGTATCCAAAAAACACCAGCTTTAGATAGCAGTCAGTAAAACTCCCAGAAATTTAAAACCAAGAGACAGTACGTTCTGACTTCTAATAAAATCACAAAAATGTAGGAAAGATCTGTATCCTACAGAATTTTTTGGAAACATTCTTCATTACTGCAAGTCTTACCTTATCTGCTTCTAAGCGTTTGTTTTCTGTTAATTTTTTGTTTTCATTTAAGACTGTTTCATATCTGGATTTCAATTCTTCTACTGCAATTTGTCTTTTTCGTACCTAGGACAACATACATTTTTCACATACATTTCCAAGATCCTTCATTTAAATATAGAAAAGATAGAATCATTAGTATGAAGCATAAAGGAAAACCTTTGATTTCTAAATAGCATCTCAAAGTTTGTCATTATTTGAAGTTATTTATTTTCATTATCCTACTTGTCACAGCAAGTACAAAAGGGTTACCAGGTAAAGAGCATGGTCATATCAGCAGTGTGTTATCAACAATGGAGAATGAGCTACACTTGTGCTGTAGAAGGAGCCAGCGTGACTCACACCTCTCTTCCCACATAACGACAATCACTGACACTACAGCCCTGAGCCAGGGAATTTCACTCCACTCACTGCTTAAGGCTGGCTGCTACCTGGAGCCACATCTACCACCTTAAAGCTGGCAGCAACTTTAGTTGTGATGAGTATTCCAAAGACAATGCTCTCTGGCTCTACTCTAGATTTTGTATCATGTCTTTCTTTTCTCTTGTCAATGGTTTAAAAAATAAGTAAGTGAAGAATGTCAGTGAAATGATGTTTATATTATAGCAGAAATAGACACATATTTGAATCAATGTTCTAAAATTTCTATGTGAATAAAGCAAATACAAAAAATAAATTGATAAAAAGCCCATTTTAAGTTTGGTTTATTTGTTTCACTGGTATTTCTATGTGGATTTACCTACTGAAATAAAAGAACTCATATAACCCTATATTCATAACCCTAAACCTAACCCTAGCCCTAATATATATTTCTTGAATGAACTTTAATTTCTTGAACTTACTTGAATACTAATAAGCTCTTAGGAATATGAAGATAAAATATGGCCAAGTAAAAGCAAAATATCATCAGTATATCCACTGAAGATACCAGACTCAAACTTTTAAAATACCTAGTTTACTGGGTCACTAGCCCACTTTTTAGGAAGCAAATCTTGTTAAAGCAAGCTTGCAGTTGTTGGCTTCAATGAGCTTCAAGTGAGTTTCACACAATTCAGTTCAGACAGTAAGTACTTGTAACAGTGTGGAGACTATTCTTTGATATAGTCTGTAATAGCACTTTCTTCTTTCATACTCAAAATTACAAAATTATTACAATCCCCATGACAGCAAAACAGGTTTATTACAAACAAAACCTTTATCTTTTCCTCAAAACAGCTTACAAACTTAAAAAAACATACTTGAAGATTTCAAAGATGGTAAGTCACCTCATTTTTATGCTGTTCTACAAGGTTTTCCTGCAGCTTTGCTTTTTCTTGCAGATGTAGCAACTCATATTCAACAGACACTTTACTTTTCTCCAATGTAGCAAGGGAAGCCTTGACCAAAAAGAGAAAATATAAAAATTTTAAGACTGTTACCAAGATAACATATTCTATGATATAATATTACCAGCAAGTGACTTGCTGGCACTAGGAAGAGTGATGTAAATATTTTTCCTGTCAAACAAAAATGATAGTCTATAGTTCATTTGTCAGCTATGAGAACACTTATATTGGACAAGAAATACAATACGAAACCTGTAAACTCTTTCAAAATTGAAATTAATAACTGAGGTAAGCTCATTTCTTTAATTTGAAAGAAAGTTTAATAAACATAGAAGAACAATTTCTACTTAAGCAATTGTGCAATTATTGACAGTAAAATAAACAGCATTCTGATTAAGCAGATATATCATCAGACAACCCTGTTCATAGCTTTGCCAAAAATTTCCACTGGAAAATTTTCAATATCTCATTTGTTCTTACTATTATAAATGGATGGCAAACTTTATTCTTCAGGTCTGGGGTCTCTAGACAGAAGGTCCAAAGACAATTAACGTGGTTACTTCATTAATGTATGAGAAATGTAGAGCCATTCAATAATGATTTATAATCTCACCTTTAATTTTTTGTTTTCAAGATGAATCTTTTCATTTTCAGAGTTAACAGAATTTAGCTTCCCAAGAATTTCCTCTTGTGAATTTCTTCTCCATTCCTCTCTTCTTTCCATGTCTTCCATCAGGCCTTTGGTCTGCCTTGTTAGACAGGCAAGAAGTTCTCTATAATACACAATGCTTCCAAAACTCTCACTATGAAAGATAAATTGTATGTGTATATATATAAAAGGGGGAAAGCATTTACACAACCAAAGAAAGGATTATATACTCATATTTTGCAGTAAACTCTCTGTAAGAGGAGAGTTTCTACTCCAAGGAAGGGGTCTTAGCTCAATTATAAAACACCAAATCATACTTCCAAAAGAACTGTGCAGATGTACACTGTACAAAATGCAATTATATTGAATTTATAAGGCATATCACATAATGTCCTCCTTAGAACACTCTTTAACTACTTTAGGAAAGTTACTTTCCAATACTAAAAGCAGCACATTATGCTATGCTGCCTTTTTCGCTTTTTTTTAGTTTATAAAGTTCACAAAATTTGTTTTGCTGTTTAGTCAGCCACACACTGCTTAGTAGAACAAGCCTTGTTGGAATGGCACATTTCAAGCAAAGACTTGTATTTTCAGCTGAAATGAAAACAGCAAAAACGAGCTGGAAGCAGAATGAGTATTTGATCTTTCTTAGATGCCTTCTTATATACACTGGACCAACAGTGGGCTAGATAGATTTCTGGACTGATGTCATCTACCTGCACTCTGGTTAATTTTTACAATCTGCTGCAAGTAATTTCGGAAATGCCAGATTTTCTGGCACAAAACCAAAATATTCAAGCCAGTTTAATGTGAGCTGTTAAACACTTGAGCATGAATCAAATAAATGTTGCCTCAGACCTAGAATAAAGGCATCTAACAGTTTCTTTTGCTGGCTTAAATTATAGCCCATATTTCTACCAACAGAAATGGTAAAAGGATTTTTGTCATTGTCTGCTCCAAAAATAATGTATCCTTTATGTACATTAAGATTTGATTTTGTAGTTTGAACAAGGTTGGATAATTTTGTTCTGCTTTTCCTTACATGACTGAACTGTTCAAAAGGCATCTGAGATGAACCCTTCTCTATCCTCTACTGAGGTGAGACTAGTGGAATTGAAATAATTTGGTCCTTACTACTCCGAAGTAGGGCCTAGAAGACAGAGAACCTTCTTCTATTCTGTAAACACAAGGGTTAACACTCAAGGTGAATCAGTTATTAAATAAGTGCTTATGTGGATGCTGCCAGCAAGTTCAGGCTGATCAGAAGTATGCAGGATAAAGAATGTTTCTTACTGGCAAGGGGAATAAAGCTTTAAAAGAAGTGAAATGCAAAAGAGAGGAGGCAAAAAAATCTTAAATTTGTTCTTATTTCCAACTTCCAAACTCTGCTTAGAATTTTAAAATATTAATGAACTCATTTACATTGTCAACGCTGAGTATTGCACTACTAAATATCAACACTCTATGACTACAGAAATTAATAAACAAAAAAGATCAACAGTCTAACTTACTTCTCAAGATCTTCTACTTGAACTTCTAACATTGTCTTTTCTTCAACTATTCTATCGTGCTGTTTTTTCCAGACATCAGAGGCTGACAGCATCTCACACAGTGTGACTTCCTAGAGATTGCAGAAATTATAAATTATGTAACAAAAGAATGCCACTGAAGAATGCAATTTAATTCTACAAATTTTTCTAAACACAAGAGCTATTTAATGCAAAGTAGTTTTACTGGTTCTCCCTTGTACAAATCAATATGTATTTTCTCTCACCTCAAAATAAAATCAACAAAATTACCCACATTTTTAAAAAATTAAAGTCTAAGCACAGACTTACTTTCAAGGCAGAGACATAGTTAAACACTAGTGCTGTATATCAACTGTAGAATACAACATTTCAAAATTTAGGATGGCAATCCTTTCTTACAAAAAAAAAGTCTTCAATGTATCATAACTCCATATAAATTACATCAATTAATAAACAAATAAAACTGTATCAAAATATTTTAAGAATGAAAAACACTAGCTAGGTAAGAAATGAAACATTAGGTAAAATCCCTTAAATGAGTATAGATAATTAATCAATACATGCTATCTTCAAAGTACACCAGGTTTTCAATGAGGAAGAAAATAAAAGTGACTACAAAACATCAGAAGTTCAGGAGGTAGTTGCTGTCCTTCTGTACTGCTAATTTTAGTTAAAGATCCACTACTGTCTTCTCACAAAGATCCAAAAACACCAAAACCATTATTAATCATCTCCTGGTACACTAAGAGGAAAAATATATCTTTAATACTGACATATCCAAAATGATTACAGCACATCTAAGAGTATGAAAACATATTCTTATTAGGAAATCCGAATAGGGCAATAAGCACAGTTCTGATGCACCCGGCCTTTTTGAACAATTGCAAACCATTGATAGTCAAAGCAAGATTCCAAGGAACGACTTGGATTAAGGAGGAAGTTTTATGCTCGGATATTGAAAACGTTCAGAGCAAGTAGCTTAGAAACAGAAAGCTAAGTAACCACATGAAACATCACATAATAATAAATAGAGAAAACTAACACTTCAAACCTCAGTCATGGATTCTCAGTACACTATTTCTGAGTTAGTGCTTATCCATGGAGGACTAACAGGAAGACCAGGAGAGGTTTAACCAAAAGCTGATGACACTCCCCTTACTTCCTACAGCTTAAAATGTACAACTTCATGACTTAAGACAATCACTAAACTTAAACAAAAAAAGAAAGGCAGTTAATAGTAACAGCTTTCATGACACCTATAGCAACCTTTTCCTTAACAATTGAGCAACATACAAGCACAGCGTAATCAAACAAATTTTTCTATTTTCCACAGGTGAAAGTCTTTCAGTTGTTCAGTTTCAAACAATACAACACAACACTGCTCACGGCATAATCACTCACACGTTCTCTTATTTTAGAGGTTACATCTTTCATGACTTCTTCCAAATGTTCAGCTCTTTGCTTCTGGGACCTTATTGCTTTTTCCAGGGCAATCTTCTTTTGCTCATTTGCTTCCTTTAAGGCTAACTTCTGGCGCTTGTATTCACCAATTTGACGTTTCCACTGTGCTAGTTTATTTTCTAGACTCTGCAGCATAATTAAAATAAACTCTTCAAATTCTAGACCTTACAGATAATTTCATGCTATAAAATAATCAGGAAGAGCTGTTACATTTATAATTTGTTTCCATATAATCTTGGTATCTCAAATTTTGTGGTTGATACAAGGAACTAGCTAAGTACAACAGCAGACAAGAAAAATACAACGAGAAAGTTGAAAAGCGACAAAGCTGCAACAGCGACAAAGATGAAAAGAAGAGGCTGAGAAGGTGCAGGAGCAGGTAGGAGTAGGGGAATAGATAGCAACCTAACCATGTCTGTGTGCTCTTGCAAATGAATGCAGAATTTCCACATAGAAAGCATGGTATGGGTGTTAAAGCCATTTATGAGAAGGAAAATAAAATGGTTTCATCAGACTATTTCTGTAAAGAATATCACCTTAATGATCAGTGATGTGCACTGATGTATTAGGGTATGTGCTCTGAATCTAGTGACACACACACAATTAGGTCTGGAGATAGGCTGTATGACTGTATATGAAATTTTATTATGAAAGTTAATATCTTGGATTTGTGTTTTTTTAAATCAGGAATCTATTCGGAAGTCTAGGAAAGGCTGGGGTCTTTTCTTTAGTATATGTATTATGATATGGTCTGTGATTAGATGACCATATACTATTTTTTTGCAAGATCTCTGAATTTTTCCTGTGCATAAAATGGCCCTACTTTATTAACAGCACAGATTTGTTTAGTGAAGAAAGTATTTTTTTATAAAAAATGAAGCAGAAATGCATTTTAATGCATTTAATAATACTACAAAACATGTACAAAGCAGACAAGATGGGAACTGGGCTCTCCAACTGCCATTATATTATCTTTTCCATTGCTGTTATTATTTCTGACTAAGTGTTTACATCACTCTGATGAAGACTGATCCCATTCCATGCAAGAAGCTAACTTCAAAACACTACATGATGATTTGATTAAGAGCAATACCAGACTTTGATTCAAGGAGAATCTCAATACACTTATCAAAAATGACCAAGCTACCAGTAGACAATTAGTTTCATAAACACAAGTGTAAATCCTGTTCGTGTCTCTTTACTATTCTTCCACCAAACTCTAGCAATGTAGGTAAGCCAGCAGTGTCAACTTTCTTAGTACAGTGATAAATATTATATTTGTAGGAATGATTAATGCATTTGTTTCCTTCCTTTTAGCCTAGGTCTGACACTACATTATATACTACTAGTTACTTACTGAATATGTGAATGTGCCAGACTTATTCAAGATACTCATTGCCAGTTGCTATAAAATACGTATGTTATGCATGAGGGGATATCTCTCAGTACAGGTCCTGCTAATGGCCCCAAAACTTTTACACAATCAAAGCAAAATGTATGTGGTTTTCCAAGTGAAGATGGCCTCGGGTACTGGGATTCACCAAAAAGCAGAAGTACTACTTAAAAAAAAAGGAAATTACAAAAAAACCCCTAAATATGTAAAAGCAGTTTTCCTATATGAATGCTTACCTAATAAACAAAGATGTGACTTGAGGGGGTGGATAAACACCTTCAATAAATACAGCAAACAGAAAATCTCAGTCTATATATGGACTTAACAGTGGGGTCAAAGTAAATAGCTGCTATTCCCGATTGTGACCACACGAGGTCAGAATCACACTACGAATAAGTGCTTCGAGCATTAGTGGCTGAGGTAAATTCAAATTGAGAACTAATTTCATAGGGGTAATGCTAAACTTTTGCAAGCTTTTGTCTAGTTATTAACAAAATCATCTCCAGGATTTAAGCTAGCAAATTATTTCAGCAATTTTTGACAGCGATCAAAACTTTTAAATAGAGATCGAATGACAACATAGCTGTGTATCAAGTAATTTTATCTAATGAAAATGTTGTTGGAATTCTATAATTGTACCAGGTAGAACAAGAAAGCAATTTTTATTCAGACGAAAACCTGAGACATTTATGCAGACATAGACATGTGATTTGAAATTGCCTTTATATAGGTTGGGTAACAATCAAATGGTTCAATTAGCAGGGGACGTATGCTAGTAAAAAAGTTTGGAAATTAGAAATACATTGTTTTTAGCCAATGTTTTCTCATTCATGCCTATGTTCTTGACAAGTTTCATATACTGTGTTCTGAGGCCATATACAGTTCCAGCCTTTCACATATGACCTCCTCCTTGCCTTTTTTACAGCCAGTAACTGACTCAAATGCCCAAATATAACTTGTGCTTTTTAGAACAGAAAATGGAAATAATTTAACCTACCTTAAACAAAGTGAGATTAGGCATTAGTCTTAAGTGTTTCACTCTCAGTCGGTATTGAGACTTATCGATTCTTCACAGACAGTAAGAAGAAACAGGGTGTGGCTGTCACTGTTGTCTTAGAACAGAAACTCACCATAGGCACTTGCCTATCTCTTGACCATATGGAGACTGTCTTCTAGGCAGTGCAGTTAAGTGAGTGCAAACACTTCTATGCATGTTTCATTTTACTTCACCAGAACTTTGAAGTTCTACTATGCTACACCAGAAGTGTGCATAAGGTGAGAAAAGAAGAAAAAAAACCTAAACAACCTTGCAATTAAAATAGTGTAGTCAGGTAGATCTTGCAAAACATAAATACTTAAAATTTTAACTGGTTTGGATTTTTCTTTTAGCAGTAATTTGTTTTCAAAACAGGCCACAGCAAGGCTTTGCCTTTTTTTTTCCCCCAATAAACTGAAACACAAAAATATTTTGACCTGTATTTTCACTTTTAATTCATCATTTTCTGCTTCTTTTCTTTTAATTTGACACTGCAGGTGAACTTGTACTTCCTGTACTGATCTTGACAGGTTATCTCCTTTCTGTACGTTGATCTAAAAAAGAAGCAAACACAAATTTATTGGACTATGCTGTATGATGCTCTCTGTATTTTTTCTACTATGCCGTAGTTTCTAACTTACATTTGAATGTCCTCAAACATGGAAAATATAAAACATGCTCTACAAGTATATTCACAAGCAGTAACTTTCTATAAAATGTATTAATGTTAAACAGAAATCACCAACTTGAAACAATTTACGTGTAATTATTGCATCATATTTAATCAGAGTTTAAGTAGCAGGAATAAGGCCTGGAAGCATGGACTCAGACATCCAGGCTAAGCAAAGGTATCCAGCTAGCAGGATGACTAACACTAAGCCATACTGATCAGATGTGCTCTGACTATTTAGACCTGAACTGACCTCCATTAAATTCCAAAGACCAACATCTCCTACTAGAACTATTGATATATTTAATTCAAACTGTAATTTGGGGGTATATGTAAGGAAACTTATATCACCAGAACTCAGGTCAGATGATTCTATGAAATTTCTTTCAGCTTGATTCCTTTGGCTCATTCTAAGTAAGAAGTAATTAGGTAGAAAAGAATCATCAGTATAGATGGAAAGAGACTAAAAGAATGTACCAGTGGAAGTGTTCATTATATATACCCGCAAGAAAGGCAGATTCAGTCAAGTATTGATGAAAATGCCGTTTATTGAAATTAATGTAAGACGGAACAAGGCAATAGCATAGAAAATTATTTATGCTTTCAGATGCTAGGCACCCTAAATTGTTCAACATTAGGTAGTCTCTTATCAGGGCATGGTATGCCACATAGATCCCATCAACATTGAAGTCTGCTGGCATTGGAGTCTTCAGAATTTTTATAGGCTTTCTGTTCAGCATTTCTATTCTCAAACAAAAAGACGTTTCCATGAAAATGTGCTCCTTCACTTCAAGGCAAGGACATGATAAGAGCCCTCACAGGCTCCTCTATTATGACCAGCTGGTTAAGTTTACCCAGCATCCAAGTGACATGTTCATCTGGTTAAACAAAAAAAAAACCTTAAAGAACTATGGCTCTTAAAAACATGCAAGGAGTTACAAATATCAAAGTACACTGCTGTGCCCTTAAAGGTTTAACTGAGCCTACACAGTCCCTCACTAATGCTGAACCCCAATGCATCACACACACACAAAGTGCACTGGAGGTATTCAGTCTATAACATAGATTGCCAAAGCACCAGTAAAATAAATTTCAAACTTTTACAGTGTCCTCTTATACAGAACAATTCTTCCCTTCCAGTACTAGCTTTTGCACTGAGCCCCTTCTTTTGATGCAAAGAGTGAATGAGCTCTTGCCAGACTTGCCAGTCTTTGATGATATTAGCTCTGCTGTCTGTACTACCTTTCCTAAAAAGAGTCATGAAAATCAGCTGTGAACAGTATCTGTTTACTCCATATTCTTCCTTGTAAGTACTTTTTCCCCAGAATATTGGAAATCAGTAAATGAAAACTTAAAAGCCACCTTAGGATATTACTGTTAAGGATAACTGTATCCTTAGTTGTTTTGATTACAGTTTTGATGGTTTTAAGATAATTCTGTAGGAAACACCTTTCAGGATTTTACTTTATTCACAGGTCTTTGAAACAATTGCTTTACCCAAAATTTCTTAATTTTTTAATTAAGAATCTAGTATGTTAGAAGAAAATACTCATTCTAGTGGAACTGGTCACTTACTTTTTCACACTGAAGGATGGACGAAAGTTCTTTAATCTGTTTGTCCTTTTCAAGTATTTTTTTCCTGAGATTCTTCATGTAAAAAAAAAAAAAGAAAATTTCAAATGTAAAACTAAGATTCCATTTTGTGATGGTAAATCACAAATACTCCCACTTTGCCACTCTTATTGGAAATTGTATGACTCTTTAAGGCAGTCAATTTCAGATATTCAGCATAGAACAAAGAGAATCAAATTTTAATTTACTTACAGTATTCTGAATTTCAGTTTCACTTAACTCCTGCATCCAAGTGTCAATGATTTTACTGTTTAACTGCAACATAGGAAACATTAAAAATTTCTTCTGATTATAACGTATTTTTCAATGGGTTTTAATTGGTTACATATATTTTGCTACATTTTCAAACCTGGTACATGTGACTAGAAAAGCTCACATACTCACAAGCTACTTAGTTGGTGGTTAAAAGCCTAAAGATTCAATTTAGGATCAAAGCCTGTGATATCACAGGATGTATCCTCAAACAGTTTGCTCATAGAACACACTTAATCCCCAAGGGAAAGGCAGACTGCCTCCAGTGAAGGTGAAGGCCAAGACCTGCCCGGAATCCAATGCTGCTGTTTTTCACAGCAGACTTCTTCCAGTTTGGAGGCAGCAATGGTTTTCCTCTTTTCCCAGTTTGGAAAAGCTTCTCACCTGGCTGCTCAAGGAAATGATGTTGCCCATGCCATGGCAAGTCCAGAGCCATATCACACCTACCACCTAAATGCATCTCATTCTCCCCACTTCCTTATCAGGCACCAGCCATCTGTTATCACCCTCAGCCCTTCTCCAAACACCTCTCTCCTGCCTCTGCCCTGGTGCTCCAGCATGATTGATGCCTTCACCAAGCACAAAGTTATCTGTTTGCACCACTCAATGCTCCACTGACTACTCATTATTTTTTCAGAAGTGGATTGTGTTGCCTTCTCCACCCACCAGGACCCATCTCCCCTGTGCTCAGCCTGTGCCAGGTACATCGCCATCAAAAGTATTTGTCAGACTAAGAGTTTCAGTTCTTATATTCATATTGCCTTCATACAATTGAGAAAATGAATAACAAATTTGGAAGTTCCATCTTAAATAATCTCTCATAGAATCAGAATGCAGACTGCTCTGTTTCCAATTGTTGTCTTAAGGCAAGTAAGTACAGTCAAACATCTAATGTTTTTTATTTTATATATGTGTCTTGTTTTTATTGCAGGATTAGATTTCCTGGCAGACCTCAACTTGTGTAACATAGTGCAACTGTCTGTAGGTTTTTTCTGGATACACAACCAAAACCAAGTTCTTGAATTTATTTACTTTTAGTGAAAACAGCACCTTGGAAGATTAAACATCATGCTTCATTTATCATAGCCAATCCATGTAAGCAGAAAAGATCAAATAAGAATAAGAATTGAGCCATAGTTTCATTATAATGTTGGTATGACCAGTACTTTCACTTAGCCACTTCTTGAAATATCACCTATTTCACATCTATAACTAGGAAGTATATTTTTAACCTTGTTAACAAAATAAATACAATTTAAAAATCAAGCCTAACAGGAACAGAATGAACTTGCCTCAACAGTGTGAAGAAGAATAACCTTTTTCTGAAGATCAAAGTCCAATGAAGGAGCAGTACAGTCATGTACAGGTAAAGAGAAGGATGATTGTGATGATGATGACATTTTGATTTAATGCTGTATAACAAGACAGTATATGTTAACATATATTGGTGTTCCATGAATCAGTAACCGAAACATTACTGACATGCCAGGTTGTTCCCACTACAATGGAACTACTGGACTGGACTAAGTAAACGCCAGTCACAGCAGAGATGTAACACAGCTAATGTGCCAGAAATCTTCCACAAGAACTCAGAACTTGCAATTGCTTAGCACTGAATTCACAAATACAGTGCGCAGGAAGCAAAGCCTTCCACAGCAGAAAACTGAATACACTCGAAGCACAAAGTAAAGCTCACAACTGCTATTTCCCACTTCCACGCTCCCCAGCACAGATGGGGAGGCTCAGGGTCACAGGTCACTCGAGGCCAGCGCTCGCCCCGGGCCGACACTCGGGCTCTCACCTCACCAAAGGCCCCTGCGCCCGCTGCCGGCGGCTCCCGCCCCTGGGGAGGGCTCCTTCCCTCAGCACCGCTCCAGTGGGGCACTGTCACCTCAGCACCTTTCCTGTTGGGCACTGTCCCCTCAGCACTTCTCCCGCTGCTCCCCACCTGCATCCGCCGCTTCTCGCCGCCGGGAGCCGTTGCCGGAGCAACGCGCTGTTGCTGTTGCCGTTGTCGCTGCCGTTGCCGCTGTCGCTGTCACTGTCGCTGCCGGTGCCGCTGCGGTTGCCGTTGCCGCTGTCGCTGCCTTTGTCGCTGCCGCTGCCGTGCCGGCCCCTCTGGCGGCGGGGGGAGGCCGTGGTGCCCTCGCAGGGCCGGCCTTGCCCGACGCTCTCCGCGTCCCCAGTGCCCCCTCCTGGGGCCGGAGACCCCCGCGGGCTCGGCGAGGCGGCACCGCCCCTTCCCCGTGAGACGAGGGGCGTGCGGTTGGGATGCCTCGAGAAGCGGCCGTGCCCCTCACTCGCCTGTGACATGCCCATACTGCCAGACACAGACGGACAAGAAACCTGGAGACCTCTGGGGAGCTTTAGATACTCTAGATGATTTCTTTCTGGATGTTACCATTAAATTTTTTTTTCCTGAGGTTAAACACTGGGTATTCACGTAACCTATGCGTATGTGGCGCTGTTTTGGCAATACATTGTTAAACACTTTAGAAAAGCCGCATATCTTTAAATAACCACATTCAGATGAGGTGGCAATTCACAGAATATCTGAGACACTGCAACAGATGTATGGAAAGATCACTTTCAGATCATAAATTGTGCGAAACTGAGTGATCATGTGATACAAACAATCATTTGTACAGGTGCATATGAAGATATGCGTATAGACATATACTCATACATAATTATAACTCGCACATTTTGTTTAAAAAAATCATACTGATAGAAATATTACTTTTTAATATCCTGAGTAATTGCAGTGTCAGTAGCTTACATTAAAAAAAAACCTTGACAGAAATAATCAAAATAAAAATCAAACAAGTCCTTTGGCATCCTTTGTAAACATGCCAGTGTGTATTTTCTTCTATTGTTGGCAATGGAATTTCAGAGAGCATTTACTCACTTTATATACTCTGGAAAATATTACCTAGCCATGTGTGCCTGGTAATAAAAAATGAAATGCTAAATTTCAGCCTTTTAAATTCAAGTAGACATGAAATCACTTCATTATCCATTCTGGAGTGAGTGTCTGATTGTACCTGAATTCCAAAAGAGTTTTTGTCTTTGCATGTTCAAAAGGCCTAAGGCTTTGTTCTCTATAGGACCCATAGCCTCAAACTGAGAATTCAGCATTTCTGTCAGACTTTTGCTTCAGCACCACAGTTATGAGCTGTGGCTTTGGTACCCCATAGTCACCTCAGACAAAATTATTGATTTTAGCTGCTCAGAACTTGCTATAAAATTGGCTTATTTTAAAAAGAAAGAAATAAGTTTTTGCAATTTTCTAAAAATCTGGTCAAAGTTTATAAAATAACGCAAGCACTGTCCAGCAGTGAGGGCTAATTAGCATGATAATTAGCATTGCACTCTGTACCTCCTAAACAAAGAATGGATTACAAGTTTCAGTCCTCAAAACCACATTTTAATGACAGTGGCACAATCCACAGAGTGGAAAATAATTAAAGGAAATAGAACACACAGTTCCACAATGACATAATTACAGGCCTTATTAAAAGAGATGTGCTTGAGAGAAGCTTCTTTAGATACCACAGGAGCACTGCTAAGTGTTTGTCACAGTTCATGACTTCATCTGCTCTAAAGGTATAATTGAGCCTTTCACTTCCATGTCAGATATTCATGACTCCAGTGTGTTTCTTTGTTCATTGGTTAATTTTGGCAATAGCCTGCTATTGCGAAAGCTGCAGATTTGCTGTGACCTTGTTAATACACTGTTCCTTCCCCATCCTTGTATGCACTGCTTGGTGCAGTACTGACCAGATTTAATTTCTCCAGCAATCCTTAGACACTTGCTGCCTTACACAGAAGTGGACACACGGCAGAGACAGAGTACTGTGTTTTCATATCTAAAATTTCATTTTCCCAAGCAATAATCAATGTTGTAATTGTAGTTCATATCAAAGCCAGAATAGCTAGCGCATTTTAGAGGAGAAAGACTCCTTTGTAGAAAAGAGTCAGAGATGAAGCATTATTTGCTGGTACCAGTTCCCTCTAATTGCTTTTAGGTCAGTGAATGCCCTGTCAATCAGAAATATCTCCTTTTATTTGCTCCTGATAAGTCTTCTTATTCCATAACACAGTTCTGCGGCATACAAATTCTTCGATGGGAACAACATCACACAATTGGAATAAGCAGGTTGTTACAGCATTGTTCCTGTAATTATTTCCTAGAGTTATGTAAAAAAGTGACATTATATAGACAATCCCTGTGATCCAGGACAGCTCACCAATTCTCTGGGACACCCAGTCCTACCTGCCTAGCAAGCAGAGCTGCAGTAGTCTCATGTATGGAGGCACTGACATCTAGTGGGCTCCAACTACATTTCCAGGTGTTCCAAATGTTCAAAAAATCTGTCACAGCATCTCTTTTTGAGAAGCTATGACCTTGATATAAATGCATATTTAAAAGTACAATGAAATATTAATAGTTAGAAGTTGAATTTATTAATTAAGGCTGACTCTTACTGTAGTAGCACGAGGAAGATTTGTTTTTAGGAGCTCATGTTCACTGAGCTCTGTCCTTAGCAAAAGCTCTGAAGAAGTCAGTTCAAGTAATGCAGGACTGAACACTTCCCCAAACACCTCTGCAAAAGACAGAAAAATTTTGCTCTGTCATGCTTTCTGACAAGCAGGTGTAAAATGACAGGGCAAGGCTTTTGATTTCCATTATTATGTTTACATGTACATATGTATGTATTTTCAAAAGCTACATGGGCTGCAGTCCCAGTTGCTGACACAACTGCCACATGCCAGCTCAAGCTAGCAAGAAAAGATGTGATAGTTGATGTCAAAACCATAAAAGCTGTGCTCTCAATATGGTCTCCCCAATGCTCTTAAAATAATTTCAGCTTCCAGCTTCCTATATAGACTTTATGATGTTCCATGAAGAAGGTAAGCTTAATTATTCCTATGCCATATGTGGAGAAACTGTGGAGTACCATATGATGAAACTACCTTTTCACAGTCACTATTAGGGAAGTGATAAAGCTGCAAAAATACCTTCAGTTATTAAACTATCATTGCATATTAAAAGGAAGAAGCCCAAAAAGTTTATTTCTATTTCCACAGGGGTCACTTCCTCTAAGTATAAGACAGCCAACTTCTAAGATAAGACAGCTGGGGTGTGGGACTAAATGATTATTCTTCCTGCTCCAGGAAAGGACAAAGACCATGGAAACAACATATGATATACCTAGTCCAGTTCCCTGAAATATCAAGACTTTTGACTACTGAATGTTTGGCAGTTGCTGCGTGCAGTCCTAGTACAACTCCAGTTCAAGTGTTTAGGGGAAGCACAGCAACAGCTGCCACAAGGACCACTGGAAGGGCGCACTAATGTGAAAAGGAGCATTAATTCTCCCTCACAGCACTGTAGTTTCTGGGCGGAAGTGTGCTGTTGAGAACAGCTGCTTTCTGGTTCTGTCAAATCCAGTCCCCACATTTTTCATGAAGGCCTGATTGTACACAGGCCAGGCAGCTGGCACTACTGATTTTATAATCTTTGTCTGGTTATTATCAAGCTAAGCTTACAGTTGTTAATGTTGGCAAAGAATCTACAGACTCACACACAAATAAATGCCCTTACCTATTTTAGTAAAACAAGTTTTCATTATTATTAAATATTCTGCTCATTTTTATATGTCTTTTCAATACATCAATAAATGGTAAATCAAATTTACACACATTTATCTGGAAAATCTGGTAGTAGGATTGCTACTATTCTTCAAGATCTTAGCTGGAGTTCTGCAGGGTTGTGACTGGTGCCAGTTGTGACTTTGCCAGAACACTTAATTTCCCATTGTTAAACTGCATTAAATGATTACATAAATATGTTAAGTATTAATAAAAAGTATATTATGCAAATATATGCGTCAGTTACATAATCATGAGTGGGAAGAGAAATGGTGTATGTGCACACAGTGACAAAAGATGTGACCCTCAGTGTATTACAGAATTAAACAGGTATGAATTCCAACCTGGACACTACATTATTGGGATTAGAGGTGCTACCAGTGTGTTTGTTTCATTTATGGTGTTTTCACAGGATATAAACTGACTTATGAAGACATTTCTGGGATTGTATTTTTCAAATCTTTGACTCTAAAGCCTTTGGTGTAAACACTACTTCCCATATTGTCAGAAAGCAGTACTGGGAGTCAACTGAGAATCATTTTAGTTATAAGCTATTACTCTTTACATAAAAATATTTTATTTTAATTATACTATAAACCTTTATATTAACATAATTTTGGTTGGTTGGTTGGTTGGTTGGTTGGTTAGTTGGCTGGTTGGTTTGGGTTTTCTGCATGAATTCTATTTCTACTCACAGGAAGGGATGTTTCAGAGTCCATTTATATCCAGCAGTAAAATGCTATGAAAGGTTATTTCTTCTTTTGGATTATGTAACAAGAAAAGTTGAAGATTAGACAGTAGGCAAAGTTATGTTGTTCACCATACCTTCTGGTACAGTGGTCACTCACCCTTCTAAATTCTCAGAGAATGGGCACATGGCAGGCTTTAATTTCTTTTTCAGCCTGACACAATTCTTCAAATCTCATCTTACAAGTGACCTTCCCTGCTGTCTACCCCACACTTCAGAGCTACTGTTTTATACTATTCCTCCAGCACAGCTCCTCAGCCCTTGCAAATAATTTTCTCAGAATGCATTGGTATGTATCTCTACACACTGTGCATGCTTTGAATTCACCTTCAGCATTCCCTGTGTCAGCATCTGGCTTGTAACTAAGCCTGTGTGCTGAGGTATGGCTTTCCTTACCTGAGCCAGATATATCAGTTTATCCTAAACCCAAATCCCTGACAATGCTTTTGGCTGTGAAGGGTAGTTATAGAGAGGGACCTGACTTTCTACTAGAATCAGATATTAAAGTTTCCAATAAGGGCAGAACAGACAACCTGAATGTGGTAATTTTTTAAAATGGCAACAGCAATCTCCAAAATTAGGCTGTTAACACTTTCTAGGATGCCAAAAAAATTTCCAGAGTTTGTCCTGAACAGTATCTAATAGGCCTACAGCACGCAAAGAAAGAGAATGTCAAGAAAGGGAAAAGCTCAGTAGTGTTTTAAGAGTAATAGAATACTGTGGAATTTAGAAAGCATGGAATTCCAGGTTGTGATCCATAACATGAATTTATTTATACATTAAATACAAAATGGGAAAAATCATCTGAACTAGAGTTTTATATGAAATATATAATCACGCAGTATAACAGATCCTCCTCTTGAATAAGTTTAGTAATCACTAGCTGAAGAGTTATTTTCTCCCTCTCACTCACATTCTGAGTGCTTAACACTTGTAAAAAGGGGAAGGATGTTAAAAGTGAGAACTGAAACAGCAGATCCAGTGCCCCACACATGCCAAGCAGCCCATCTGCTAGTGGTGGAAATACTGGCTACTTAAGGCATTCTCCTAAGAATGAAGTAGTACCACTTTGTTTGGGGCTCCTCAGGAAAGCAGCAACTAAAAGTAGGTTTTCCAAAGCATACAGCATCACTCTCACCTACAGGGGCTTAAAGGATGGGAGTCTTGTTCATCTTACATCCAGCCATGTTCTGACGGAAAAGCAATACCAAGGGTGTCAGACAATGTAACAGAAAGCAGCAGTTTCCTCTCTGGCAGGCAAGGCTCACATGTCAGAGGCAGCAGCAGGCTGCAAGCTTCAGGGAAGAACTAGCAGATTTGGGAAGAGTTAGACCTACTTGCTGGCTGTTCATTCCAGCCTGAAAACACTACACAGCCAGGGCTTTACTGGGGTATATCACAGCTGAGGTGGTGCTTCTGCTACAAGCTCAGGCACCACTGCTTTCAGTTGTTGGGTATCTCTTTTTGTGGAAATCCGTCAACATGAACCGCTGGAAGTCAGTGCCAATGGAAGTTATGAAGTGAAATAATTGCATCTGTAGATCCAAATGTAAAAGTTTTGATGTTGATGTCTTTTCACATATGCTAAATTGATATCATAGTTAATGTAATCATCACTTACATGACTGTAATCAGCCTTCATGAGGCCATATATAGTACTGGCCTCGGAAGAGAGACTAGTGGGACTTCTATATACCAGTAACACCAATTTTAGGAAATGGAAACAAGCTTGCCATATACCTTTTATATGCAAACACTTATACCCATGCATAAATAAGACAATATAAGCTGGAAAAGGTGAATTGATTCAAGAAAAGGAAACACATACACACAATAGCTTTCAGGCCCGGTTCTTATAAAAGGTACAATAGGAACTTTACACAGCCTGGGTTTTGTTTTGGTTTTAATTCCTGGAATCTGACCAGCATGTAAGCAAGATTGCTTCGATTGTTAGTTGTTTCCCTTCTCTGGAATTCACCTCTTGTCATAATGCCATAGGACTTCCTCTGACTTTATCAAATTCAGCCACACATTACTTATTATTTAGATTATGAAATAAACTACTTAACCTAACAACCAGGATAATTTGCTGGTTATGATAAGTTGTTGCCCATGTTGCCACAATGTAAATGTTTCTAATTCCTGGACATGTCATAGGTCCTTTCTTCTTGAATATTCAGAAATCATGATGAGAGATGTTAAAATAATAGAAATTACTAAAAGGAGAGACTATTTTCTCCTAATTTGCTTGATTACTGCTATTGAGTTTTGCTACTGTACTCAAGGTTTTCAAAAATTCTCTTGGGATGTTTTGGTGCTAATGCCTAGCTGCATCTCAGTAGATGTTTATCCAAACATCTCTTAATAAAGGCTTTTTTTTTTCTGAACAACTTTTAAAAATTCATCCCCAGTTTACATTTTGAGGTTTATCTGAAAATTATGTTTTGTGAAGACAAGGTTTGACTTACAAAACTCAGGACACATGAAAAGGGGGCGGGGGCGGGACTTGTCTTCCAGAGCCGGGTCGGAAGGGACAGGCCGGACCGCGGTCCCTGGGAGCGCCGGGATTTCCACGCCAGGGGCTCGGACAGGCGTGCCCGGGGTTCAGCCCCCACCCAGCCAGCGACTCTGTACGGCAAAGGCCGCACCGGCTCCCAGAGTCTCCTTCGCCAGGGCTGGCGGGCGGGCTGACCCTGCCCCAAAGCAACCACAGCCTTGAAGCTGCCGATAATGCCCTCGGCTGCCCGGGATGAAAATTCTGCCGGGGCACCACGGCCAACTCTGCCACCCCACCCGCCGTACCCTCACACCGCTCCCTCACGCCAGCGCTGGGCGTGCCGGGGCAGGAGAGGGGCAGAGCGGGGCTGCGGAGGAAGGCGGCCAGGGCGGAGCGGGGCCGGGGCGGAGCGGGGCCAGAGCAGAGCAGAGCAGGGCTGGGGCGGGGCGGCCGCCGGTGCTGCTCACCCGGCCGATCCGGGCCCTGGGCTGACGCCACGGCCCCGCCAATCCGCTGCGGCCGGGCCGGGCCCGGCACCGCCCCCGGCGGCTCCCACTGGGACGGGCCGGAGCGGCCGCCGCCGCCGCCGCGGGTGCCCGGGCTGAGTCAGCGCCCCCGCCCAAGATGAACATCATGGATTTCAATGTGAAGAAGCTGGCGGCTGACGCGGGCACCTTCCTGAGCCGCGCCGTGCAGGTACGGACCGCCCGGCCCCGCCGGGGCCTCGCCGGGACGGAGCTGCCGGGGCGGCCCCCGGCGGAGACGCCCCAGGCGGGGCGGAGGCCGCGGGTGGCTCCGCTGGGCCGCCGCCGCCGCTGGGCCCGGCGCGGAGCGCTGGCCGGGGCGCTCGGCTCCGCCCCGGGGGCCGGGAGGGGCCGGGCCCGCCGCGGGCTCCCCGCTCGGAGGGAGCGCCAGGGCCGGCTGTGCCGGCGGGAGCGAGGCCGGAGCATGGGCCGGACCGGGCCGGGCGGCGATGGGTGCTGCGGGAAGTCTCCTTCAGCCGGCCCCTTCGGCCGCGGGCTCGGCAGGCTCGGCGGCTCGCCAGGCAGGCTGCAAACAGCAGCCTCGGGGGGCTGGCGGGGGTGAGACAGCCCAAGGTCAGACGGGCAAAGAGGGGAGAAGGCGGCGGCACTGGGGGCACGAGGTGCGCAGGCATCAGCTGCCGGGAGACACGGCCGGACTTTGTGCATGCAAAGGACAAAGGTGTGTCTCGCCTGAAATAAGCATCTGAGTTTTACTGGCTGGTAGAAACGTATTCATATCGCTGCTGATCGGTAAAAGTCGAGCTTTGATGTGACACATGAAAGTCCTGTATGTGTGTGCTTAGGCTGTTTCGTTTGTTTTACCCTAGTATCATTTTAAAGCTTGTTTGATAGCCCGTTGTTTCCTATTCGGTTTTCCCCTTTCTTCGCAGTAAGGGCATATAGCTGTCTTTTGTTCTTTAGCGCTTGTCTCCTTTCCTTATATAATCAATCAAACTTGAACAGATTTCCTGAATGGAGATGGGCATCCAAGCAGTATATAGTAATCCACTTCTTACGAGTTCTCACTTGGTCACAGTCAAGTTTGGAATGTGGTAAGCATTGTTATCTGGTCTGATCCAGTCTGATGTGTTGCCTTAAATCTCAATATTCAAGCAGAACCAATGATCAGCAGCACAGCAGATCTCTGAAAATGCAATCTCGTCAAAAAATATTGTTCAAATTTAAATGAACTTAAAGCAGTCATTGTGGCTTCTCTTTGCGATGGAGGTATTTCAATGCTTCCCCCACTACTCCTGGCTTCTTCCACATCTGTCTGCTTCCCAGACCAACTCTTCCTTTTCAGCCTCCACTTTTTGTTTTCTTGTTGGACAAGGAAAAAAAAAAAGGAGGTACAGTTTCATCCTTCATTGTAAAATCTTGTGATGGGACCTTGTGATTTCATTTAACTGTGTATATGAAATCTAACATCGTGGTCTTCACTAAGCAATCTTCACCCTGCTGAGCGGATTTATGGATGTATTAATAGGAAATAATTTTATATACAAATACTCTCATCTGTAATTAGTAAAAAAATTATTCCAAACCTATCTTTACTGTATTGTAACGAGTCTGTAAGGTTTTTGAGACCACTGGGCATAGTTTTAAAAGCCTTTTAAACAGCAGTAGTAGTACACCCATGAATAAATTACCTTCTTCTTTATATGGCAGCTGAACTTTCTCATGACTGCAGTTTGCTTTTATGTAGAACTGCAAATGCCAGAAGCATTTATCAAGATGTGCATACTATCAAAGTTGGTTAATTTACATGTGACGGAAATTAAAACAAACTTGGACAATGCAATTTACTTCTATTGTATTTTGTTTCTTACCGGCCGCCAAAGAACTTGTTAAGAATGAAATTGGACAGTCAGAATGCTTCCAGTCCCATTAACTTCCTAATTGGTAAATTTGTTAGCAACTTAATTGTAAGCCAGATTCTCCCGAGAATGCCTGACTTTGAGCAGCGGGCTGTCAAGGGATGAGATCATTGTTGTTGGGAGGAACTACTGCTCTGAAGAGAGGCAGGCAAAGCCCTCACTTCCGGCTTTGCTTGGTTCCCTGATGTGAAATGCGGAGCTTCTCCCTGTCTGGGATTGAAAAACGAACTGCTTGTGCATTAGTAAGACTTGGCATGAATTTTGTATCAAGTGGAATGAATTATCTGATGGATTTATTTAGCTAAATGAAGTTGTATTGTAATTCATGGTCACTGAAATGACAGCTTGGATGAGAACAGCAAAGGTTGTCTTACTGTCTCTGTGAGGCAGAACAGGATATCTAAAGAGTTTATCGAACACTGGTTTGTCTTATTCTAAAAAGCAAAACATTCGCCACCCCCAAATATATATATTTTACAACTTCCCAAGAAAGTTTTAGCTTTTAATCCTTGTCGTTAGAAGCTTTAATGTCTAATTATAATTTAAATCTCCTTACTGAAGTTTAAACTCCCTATTTTTGTCCTGTTTCCTCTGGACAGGACAGGATATTTTTTTCAATATATTCAAGGTAGCTGCAATAGCAATCTGTTCTGTCTTCAGGTTTTGCATGAGGATAATTGACAAACGATTACAAAATATGCAAGATTACCTCAATCTTTTAATTTTCTTTATTACCTCTGGACTTTCATTTTGGTTAATATTTTAAAGCACACTGTGCAAAATTGGACAAAATGCTTCATGTGAGAATTCTCAGTACCAAGTTTAGCAGAGGATTTCTTCATAATGTTGTAAATTGTCTTTTGCATCCTTGTCTGATTAACATCCTCTTGTCCTTTTTTTTTACCTGATAGTATGGATGTGTTGGTGAAATGAGTAGCTTTCAAATTTATCCTTAGATTTTTACTGATGACTGGGGAATGTTTATATCTTCTAAAACATCATCTTCAAAGTAATATAAGTGATTGTTTTAAATTTGTCCTGGAAAATTATTTCTATGAACTGAATGTTTTTAACCTGACTAACTTGCAGTTCACAGAAGAAAAGCTTGGTCAGGCAGAGAAGACTGAACTGGATGCTCATCTGGAGAACCTTCTCAGCAAAGCAGAATGCACTAAATTGTGGACAGAAAAAATAATGAAGCAAACAGAAGTATTATTGCAGCCAAATCCAAGTAAGGAGCCCTTCAGGTTTTTGTTTCCAACTTTGAATTAATAGATATGCCAATGTAAATATTTACTGCAATAGCTATTGCATAAGTAATGACTAAATACAGCAGTTTTAAAATTTGAAAGCTGCAGTTAAGGAAAGCACATTTTGAAGAGCTGGTAAGAATTGGAGACACTGCCAATTGCTGGTGCTTCCTGAACCTTTCAAATGGGGAAAACTTTATACACAGCCTTTTAAACTGTTGTATTGGTTCCATACTCTGCTGAGTCTCAGGTTGATTGTTTTTTTGAATTGTTTACTGTCTAATTGAATTTCCCATTCTAATTCCAGATATCTTGGATAGCTGTAAGAATTATGAAATTTTTCATGGGGTAAATACAGTGGCTCAAAAAACTTCATTACTATTTCATTATTTAAACTCTCTGCACAATATAAATCAGCTTGAAGGAGGCAAGATTAACTAAAACACCTGTCTTCAACAATTCTATTACTAAAGGATTAGCACCCTACTTAGGCAATACAAAAAAGTGTCAAATATGATTTCATCACTATTGAATCTCTTACTGTAACAGTAATAGAAAAAAATGGGCAGAAGAAATGAAGTTTTATGGTGTGTTAATTTTTTTGTTTCTGAAATTGCTGTTACAAGTAGTAATGTTGAGGAGATCAGTTTCAGACTCATCCTACAGTTGTACTAAGGTTTGGAGCTATAAGAATTTATTTAGTGTATAGATCTAGATGTTAAATCAGGACCTGTGAAGTGGGTCAACTTCATTGAAAAAATCCAAACCTCCTTTAGGTTTGCTCAAATGATAATTTTATAAAACTGCTACTACCTCTGCACTGAAAACACAAATATTTTCCTTGTAGTGACATACTGAGCTTGGATTTATTACTAAAGGTAAATCATATACTGCTAACACTTCTCTAATGCCAAGTAGATAAATTTTTTATTACAGAGATGTTTGAAATATTACTTTGGAAGTGTGTTGCATCTTTTAGTTCCGTAAAAACAACATTTAAAAAATAAACCAACTAATCACGTGGGAAGGATGCAGTAGAACTTGCAGAATATTCTATCTCAAATTTCTGCTTTTGTCAAGGCCAGAGGAAATAGCTGTCTTTTTCATTCAATTTAGTATTTGTAGTATCTCGTGGACTTTTTCAGAAACTTGTAAGCTTTGGATATTGAGGCAGCAATATTCGAAGCTGACTGAAGGCTAGTGGAAGTGTATAAAGAAGTTTCAGTAGAAGGGTGATATATGGTAGTGTCTCAGTTCTGCTCACCAGTCCATTTTCTGATGGCTAAAAATACTCAGCATTGAGCAGTGATCTTTGTGAATGTAACTTCAGCTGTTAGCTGGCCTACTTGGGAAAAGGATCACATGCTGCAGAGAGCTGCTTTTGGTAGTTGTTAATGGAGTGACCCTGTCTGGGGGAGGAAAAATCACTTTCAATTTCATTCATAATTGTACCTACACATCACATCCATGTAATAGTCCAATAATTTCAGATTACTTTCCATTCTTTTGTGATTTAGTAATAAATAAATATTATGGCTTGAGTAAAGAAAACAAATCACCTTTGATTATTTTTGGTTCACTCTTGTTGCCTGGGAATGCACTAGTACTCATCATTGTCTGTCTTAAATTAATTTTTGTGACCTTCACGAGAGAGTAGTTATTTAATCCACTGCTGTTGAAAGTTGTCTAATTAACAAGAAGAATTAAAATGGCAGGTTTGTTCACTGGAAAGCTTCTTTGTAGTTGTGTCTACTATTGTAGACTGAAATGAGTTCATACTGACTGTATAAATAAAGCCAGCTAGGTGGGAAATGAAAGCAATCAGTCAGAGAAATTGGGTATTGTATCTGGGGAGTTTTCTTTTTCAATTACAGAGTCCCTTTTTAGGTATGTTAGGCCTTTCCACCTAAAAGCTCCCTGTGTCTTGTTATTATGATAGATGGGTAGTAATGCTCACATAGTCTTGACAAGTTTTTCTGATAATTTTACTGCTCAGACTAAGAAAATAGGGAAACATGAAATGAAACACTTTCTAATTACTTTTAATGGTTTCTTTCAGAGTATTTCAAGGGAGCATGGGGCATGGGAAAGAGGATATAATTTGTGGGGCAATCAAAATTTCAGAATATCTTAATAGGGAACTTAAAGTAGTTGTCAAACTTAATTTCTACTGCTAATTGTAGTGAAAAATTTTCATCTTTTTCCTGGAGGGAGAACAAAAGACTGGTTATTAAGGAGAAGGGTTCTGTTATTGCTCTTATTGCGAAGACTTCTGATCAAAATTCTGAAAAGCTGTATAACTATGCTAATGGAGAAGAAAAGTATAAATTTTCACTTTCCCAGATGGCTCTAGGAAACACTTGAACATGGCACGGCAAACATGGACCATGGTCAGTTTTCAAGAACAGGATCTCCAGCTTAACATTGTTCACTTAATGTTGAATTTAATGGCTGGATTTTGAAATTCCTTTTTTGTGTTCCTTTTTCTTTTTTGTTTGTTTCTCTTTCTAACCTGTGCTTTGAATGACAGTAATTATTTCGAATAAACATTTTTAGATGCCAGAATAGAAGAATTTGTCTATGAGAAGCTGGACCGCAAAGCACCAAGTCGCATGAATAACCCAGAGTTACTAGGCCAGTACATGATTGATGCTGGGAATGAATTTGGCCCAGGAACAGCCTATGGTAAGAAGTAAAAAAAACATAGATATAGGCTTTTTTAACAATATAAAAATACATTTCTTGTCTTCCTCTAGATAAAACAGTTTAATGACATTTATATCAGTATGAATTGACTTGCTGTATAACTGTATAGCTGAGCATTAGGAGATCAATGAGGAGGTTTCTGTCTAAATCTAGAAATGAACTTGTGGTTGAAAATGGTATCCATCTTCATGGATGGATAATTACCTTACCAGAGCAACTACTTTTGGAATTTAATGCCCCTGTTAAAGGAACACATCTGCACATTTGATAGTATTTATTGATTTTATTAGTTGTTTGGAGTGAAAATGTTACCTGAAATTGACTTCTGTAGTAAGAAACTTCTCTAACTGTACAGTATTCCTACTTTTCTTTATATATAATGTTTTGATAAGGGTGGTAGTGTGGAACACAGTCTAAATGTTATTCCTTCTCTAGTAAGCATATACCTATAACAGGATGGTTGGGGATATTGCCTCTAATATTTTTACACTGCTGTTAATTTAAAAGTCTAATTCTGTTGTTCTCTACAACTCTTAAAGTTGCTGATACAAATTCAGCTGTTAATTTAATTTAAACAACTGAAAAATGCAGGTGTCTGTACATATTATGGTATACAAAGTCTGATAGTTCACTCTCTTCAAGTCTTTCTTCAAAATTACTGTGGGGAGGGGAAAACTTGTTCTGTGAAGAATGAGTTCCTTGTGTCTGTAAATAATGATGTTCCTTTTCAAAAAAGGAAAATCCCATTAAATGAAAGTAAATGTTTCAAAAAATTCTTATGCCATAATCAATAATAGCAAGCTTTGTTCCTTTGTTTACACCCACATGATTTTATGTATCTGTGGCCTTCCTTCTGATCATCAGCCTCAAGTCTTGCTTTCTAGCATTCAACAGAGTTGTACTTATAGGCACACTGTCCCTTGAGTTGCAGAATTTTTTGAATTCAGGCAATTAAGAAAAAATATTTGCACATAGATACACAGTTAGGATTTCACGTGGTGTCATCAGGTCTTGGTTCTCTGAACACTTAGTGTCCTTTCTAACTAAGCAGTGTCAGGCTATTAAAATTCCTTTTGATACACTAACTTCAGTTTCATTACTTGCAACTAGATTTCAAAGTATTGCTCAGTTAATGTAGAAATGCATATTTAGAAGTTTGAGTAGATGGGGGCAAGGAAAAGCACATTCTTTGCCAATATCTTAATAAGCTTTTTCCTTGCTACCAATTACTCCTGTCTTAAGAATGTTGTATAGGAGAGGAAGTTGTTGGATTAAAATAGGTGTGATATCCAGTTCTGAAATAACTGTTCACTATGGAGTTGCCATAATTAGTGCCATTTCTACAATGTGGTCTCATTGAAATCTTACCTTGACCTGTGATTTTTCATAATAAAAATAGTTTGGATTGTTGTTTGTGTGGTTGGTTATTTTGGTGTGGGGCTTTTATTTGTTTTTATGTTGAGTTTTTTGGTGGTTTTCGGTTTGGAGTGTTTTTTCGGGGGGGGGGAGGGTTGAGTTTCTTGCACGTTATTTTTCTTTCTTTTGAAGGCCCTTTTCATGGCATTGGATTATTTTTCATACTGCTGGCCTAAACTTTCCTGACTGTAGCAACCTGCTTTGTTAACCTCCTGCATGAAAAATATGATTAATGTATTTTTCCCTTGCAGGAAATGCACTCATTAAATGTGGAGAAACACAAAAGCGAATTGGGGCAGCAGACAGAGAGCTAATTCAAACTTCTGCTATAAACTTTCTCACTCCCCTAAGAAACTTTATTGAAGGAGACTATAAAACTATTACTGTAAGTGGAATTTTACATTTTTCAGAATTTCACACCAATTGTTACTGTCAGTCTTTAGTAGTAGATAATGGTGCATTATTACTTCCCGCAAGGTAACATAGAAAAATTCAAGTGAAATTTGTGCCTTTGGAATATTTTCTGGTTTTTGCCAAGATAAAAACAAAATAATGATGAAAACGCTTGTTTGTAACTATTGTTCCATGAGAAGTGTGCATATTGAGTATAAACTGTGTGAGAATGATGAGTATCTAATTCTACCTCTCTCTTCAACTGAAGAACTTTTTTTTACATGATACTTCATTAAAAGCATTTCCAAGTAGACAGTCTTTTTCTTGTGAGTTTGTGTACCTGTTCTCACAAACTAACCTAACTCACTTTCAGAAAGAACGTAAACTGTTACAAAATAAAAGACTGGATTTGGATGCTGCAAAAACCAGACTGAAGAAGGCAAAAGTTGCAGAAGCTCGAGCTGCAGTAAGTAGAGGGGTTTTTTTAGTTGGTCCATAACTTTCAGACTTATTGATACATATTTATCAACTTGACTGCTTGGTTATGTTTCCAGTCCTAGCTTCTTACCCTGGTTGTTTTTCCAGGTACTTTTGTAAGAAATGCCTTAGTGGAACACAAGGAAACAGAAGTGAGTTACTGATCAAGGTGTTAGTCTTCTACTTTTAAATATTCCATCAAGTTGGACTTAGTTATTCTCTTCTTGTTTTATAGTAGATAAGTCTATACTGTCAAAAATTAATTGATACAACCTGCCAATATGGGTGTAAATACAAATACTTGAATCTCTGCAGATGTTGACGTGTGTGTAATTGCTTTCAACTGATGAACCTATCTATACTTAATTTCCTTATGTCAAAAATATTTGTGGCTTCTCTTTATGTACTGCTTTACACCACCAGAGGTGAGACTCTTCAACTCACATGACTTAACCATTCTGATTCCCTCAAAAAATGCTTATTCGAGGAGATTAAATTTAAAAAAAAGTTACTGCTTTTTAAACTCTTAAAATGCTCTAAGTGAAGAAATGAACTGTTGACTGTGTGTAGTTTCATCAGTGTATATTTACAGTATTTTCATAGCTATCTTCTGACTGCATTCCTAAAGGCTCAGCAGTTAATGATGGACAGTGAAGTGATTTCTGCTATAAGGGTTAATGCAGTAAGGGTCATGCAAATTAAGAAATCCAGACAATTTAAATGCACAGGGACGGTGTACATGATGGAGGGGCAGAAGAAGGACTGTCAGATTTTGCTGGTTTTTCTAAATGGGTGTTTTACCTGAAAGATCTGAGAGACATCATCTTGAACTTTGAAGTGTGTTGCATATTTGGGATCATGATCCATCTAAAAACATAATCTCTACTTGACAGATCTGCTCTTGTGTGTCAGTCCATGTCATACACACTGTCCCTCTGTATTTAAACCATCTGTATTTTTAAGTTTAGGCATGCATTTTCTCTTATGTAAATTCTATGCAAAAAGAGTCACTTCTCTATTTGTCAGGCTTTCTTCATTTGTAAGACTGAAAATGGAGAGCAGGGAAGGGTTTTGATCAGCAAGTAGTGCAGTTTAGAAGCAATTGATGGAGCAGCATTGGATAGTAAACTATTCCTTTGCTTGGCTTTGTTCAGAGTTAAGTTAAAAAAAAAGATTTTATTATTAGCTTCATTTCTGATGTGGTAGCAGGTATGTATGTACCTTAGTTTCTAAAGCAATGAAAAGACCATAAGGAGTTGTTCCCCTTGAGCCTGGTATTAAAATTTTATCTATATTTATATATATGTATGCATTGTTACACTGAAGTTTTAATTCCATCACCAAGGCAATCTTTCAGAGCTTGGTGCCAATTGCTGCTGCAACTACTTGATCCTGAGTATTCATCTAGCAATTATGCAATTTTATGCACATAATTTAGTGCTGGAAGAGCATGAAACTCTAAACCTCTTCGCTATTTTGCCTATACTTTAATTTTAATTGCATTTAGACATCAATGTGCTTGTTTAAGAAGTATCAGATTGCCAGCAGAAATACCAAAATTGCTGCTCTTCTTTATCCTTTGCAATATAGAAGTGAAAACTAACCTGGATGTAGGTGTGATGCAAATGGGTCACATTCTACTGGGTCCCTTATTTATAAAGGAAGAAATCTAACAAACAGGGCTGGACTGATAGGTTAGTGAAGTATACTGAGCTACGATGCAAATTTTTATGCTTTACTATTTTCTGTGATAGGTTAAAGTACTAAATTTATCTGCATGTTATTACATATTTTTGTAACTGGGAAAATAACTTGAAAATTACTTATTCTGTGCTTACTGTACAACTGGAACAGCTTAGTTCAGTGTTTAAAATCAAAATCGAAACTGTTTTATTTATCTATATTCACTTCACAGTCTTACTTAGCTTAAACTTGCAGTGCTTTGTGCTGATAATCTATTTACCTGCTATATTCACAGTGTTGTAACTTGCTTTTGTTTTTTTTTATCTATACACTTAAGCAACTAAACACCTCTCAGCCTGAAGAGAATAACATTATGGTAAATGTCTCTTACATGCTCAACTTGCTGCATGTAAAATGGCTAAAGGTTTGTTGGCCTCCTGTGTTCATTCATTCTCCTGTCAAATGTTTCCTCTTGCTATCCAGCTCATTTTGATCTTGTTTCAGATGTTTCCATTCTAAAATGGATTGGTGTAATGCACTAAATACACTTATGTCAGTACAGCATTGAATGTTATTTTTATCAGATTATTTCTGATAATTTGAAATACACAGTATTATATTCTAATTTCTGTGATTCTATGAATGTAAACTTAGAATACAAAGGAGTTAATATTTCACTTCTGAAATTATTTTCAGCTGTTGGAGGAATGATTAACTTTTCCTATCTTTTTAGTATGAGTACATGAATTATGTGAAGTAGCCAGAACTATGTAGAAATTATACCTTTCAAGCAGTGTGTTACAAAGAACTGCAACTGAAAAATGTCACAGAAGTTAATGGCTGAACATAGAGTTAGAATGTATCCTAAACTTGTTGCAAGGACTCCCCAGTGCAGCTGGTTTTAGCACCGTAGTTGTGATAGTGGAAGGGATTGATTTGTTATGTGCAGCATAGACTGTTCTGCCCAGCCTGTTCTGGCTGGGGTTTGGATCTGCACAGCATATTGGGTCTCATCTCAATTTAGTGTTTCAGATTGTTCAGCTGTAATCAGATTTTAAAAGGAGCAAATAAACTTGTTTATTACAGTTTGCTCCTGCAACCTTTTTACACATTTCTTCCTACTCCTGATTGTGTCATCATCTTAAAATGTCAGGAGATGAAGGTTAAAGAAGAGCCACATTGCAAGAGGGAATTGAAAGAGCAAGCTGAAGTAATTAACTTTTAGACTAATTCCCTTGCAGTTCTATAATTTTGCTGTGCTGCATGCTACTACTCTAATACTCAATTTGAGATACCTCTGTAGCATTTTTAATTAAATTTAGGTTTCAGTCAAAGTGCTTGTGAAATAGAAAACTGGTAATGAAATTAGCAAGAGAAAGCATTCATGTGTCTCAGTGTAAAAATGAGAATAGCTTTCCATAGTTTTCCATTATCATAACACATTAAGGTGACTTAAATTCCTCCTAAGGTAATTTAGTTTGTCTGATTCGTGCCATTTTTAAAGTAGTTATATCTTGAGTTGTAATAGCTTGTTTTAAGTAGATTCTTGTAATATATGAGTTCTACAAGTCACACTCTCTTCAGTATCTAACTTGTTTCATAGATGTAATGCTATCCATATTCATAATAGATTCATTGTATATGAAGGGCTCTGGGCAGCTGACTTGTAGCACTCCTCAAATCCCTGTGAAGTTCTGAGGACAGGAAAGTACTTAAAAGCCGAAGTGTGATTACTGTAATAGAGTACCACCAATGTCTAAGTTTGTGTGTTTTTATTTTTTCCTCCCCCACTTTTAATGCTGACTAGATATGGGCTGAGGAAGTGACAAAAGTAAGTAAACAACTTTAAAATTTCAGAATTCTGAAATCATAACTTGTGCTGGTCTACTGTAATAAAGGATATTACATGTTGTTGATTTCAGTCTGATGCAGCCTGATGCCTTACATCAGAGTGCACTGGGCCCCTCCAGGGTCTTTCAGGTTTCAGTGGTGAAACAATGCCCTGGGCTTGTTTTATAGTAAACTATTTCTGGCTGTCACTTAGTACCACTACTATATGATTCTCATGGATACAATAGACAACTGCAGGCCTTCTCTCAAAATTTATTGCTATGCTATCCTGTTAAGAACGAGTTTATTTGAAAATTTTCAGAAATATTTGCATCTAGTAATCTAAACTCTCCTGAAAACACTGATTTTTCAAGTTTTACCCGGAATATGGAATACTTCACCTTTCTTTCCAGTGTCAATAGATCTTCAGCAGCTTAAGTTAGGGGATAGGCACATCTGAAAACTGCACCTGCCCTGGAAGCTAGTTTGTAAGCTTAGCATTAGCCTTGGGATGGGTGTTGCAGCCTTGTCTGTCATGCCATCCCTTGCCCAGGGACAAACTCAGAGGAGCTAATGGAATATTAGGCAGTAGCTGCTGTGGTGCCTTGAGAAGGGCTGTCCTTAGGCTCACTGGCTCTGAGGGGGTGTGCTAACAGGGAAGGAGGGATTTCTTAGTGGATTTCTGCAGAGGAGGAGTAATTGAAAGTATGTCAATAGAAGGAGAGTAGGGGCTTTGGACTGTGGTTTTTAATGGGAACTAGCTAGGCAGCTGTGGGAGGTGTAGGGAGAAGATGGAATATGCAGCTTCAAGTGAAATCTTGGGAGTTGTGGGAGTTGCTCTTCCAGCTTTCTTTGAGTTATGGTGCACACAGGTGAGGATGAGTGTGAGTTCAGAGGGAAGGAGGCATTTAAAGTAAAAGGAGGGTTAACTGTGGAAGGAAGGTGAGGTCAACTTTGATCCCAAAGTTTGAGAATTATTTAATTAATTAAGTAAAGTAACATTTGCAAGTAGGAAACCTGTCTGCTGGTCCTGTACTGGGGAAAAAATGTCAGGGAAAGAATACTGCTGTGATGAAAACTAATCTTGAAGCTATTTGCTTTTCAGAGACAAGGACAAGCAATTTTAAGGATAGTGAAATTCAACAGATTGTGTCTTGGAAAGAAGAAATACTACAGAGTGCTTAACTATAGCATAAAAAAGACAAAAAACTTTAGCTCTTATAATAAATTATTTAATTCAACATACCCTTTTTTATTTAGTATATAAATAGCAGAGACTATTGAGAAGAAATGAAACATTATGTACAGCCAGTGACCCAGTAATCCATCCATGTTTCTAAAGGCAATCTGTCCTCTGTGTATGAGAGTTGGAGGAGGAGATTCATAAATGTATTCAAATTAAATATAAGCTTCCCAGCAAAGGTTTCAGACGATCCAGTCACCTGTGGCTCAATTAAAGGGGTTTTTTTTTGAGTTAGAATGAAGGATGTGCATGGTGGCAATGACAAACTTTCCTCAGTTTAGCTTCCTCTAACTCTGCATTTCAGAAGGAATATTAAATACCAGGTGCAGCTATGTATCCACTACCAGTGTTTTACTGAAAGCATGTCTAGTAAAACAACATTAAGAGGGTGATTTTATTCCATATGTTTTTATAGGCGTTGTCCCTTCACTACAGGATTGCACAGTACGTCTAAGAGGTCCCGTACTCCTGTGAAATCTGGGGAGATTATTTACATATGAATACTCAGATTCAAGACCTGGGGATCATATTCTGTAGTTGCAGAGCAAGTGCCATTTTGAGGGATCTTCATGAGACATACCTAGTGAGGTCTTTTAATGGTCCTAAAAACACAATACAGCAGCAGCTGGGAAGTCTAGTCTTGCATTTCCAAGCTCTTCACTCTATTCAGAAACAAAGGTGATCAGGCCATAAACTTCCCAGATTAAAAGTCACCTGGTTTTCACTTTTACCACAAGATGTAGAATAGATATGCTGTCCTGCTACTGTTCATCTAGCAGTACTGAAAACAGGAATGGGCAAAACTGATTAAAGACATCATCTCTATCTCTATAAAATCTCTGTCTCTATAATCTCTATAAAACCACTGCATTGGGCTTTTGTAAATATATTTTAAGTCACTCTGTACTGGCTAAGCTAATGTGTTACCACATTACCTACTTTTCTTACAGAAAGTAGATTATTTGCTAGAATGTTGTTGCAACAAATATAATCATTCTGATGGATATGTCCCTTTCTTGTAAGTTCCTATTCTCTTGTATTTACTTACCTGACAGGGAGACGGAAGCACATTAGCAACTGCTGACTTCAGAGAAGCAAGAGACAAAAGTATTTCTCTCCAGATAAATGATTTACTTATTACTTTGATGGTTTTTTTAAAAGAAAATTAAGGTGTTGCTTTTCTTCCCCTCTTGGCTATCTGATTAGCTTTTTCCATCTGTTTGTTCTTACATTTCTCTCAAAGACTGACAGATGGATTTCACTGATACTAATTCAAATTTAATCAGAAAATTCCAAGCAAAGATTCTTTCCTCAACGAACTTTGAAGACCTAATTAGTTTGAAACTTGATACAAACTTGCTATCTCAGTTTTGAGTAAGAAGCACACAGTTCTCTCTAGGTACTTCTTCACTGTTTAATTACTGTGTAAGCCCTTGCAGCTGCAGTGACTTCAGATGGAAAAATATTTCTTAGAAAATCATTCTTCTGTGCTGTTTTCTGAGACTCCATATGACTTTTCATACTGATTAACATTAGCTGAATGCAAGAGCAGAATGTTTGCAAACACTTAAAATGCTTTTGAAACCAGTGCTTTACTGGTATCACCTCATTGATTTTCCTGAAAATATATTTCCTTCTTTGTTGAGAATAGTTCTTGCTGCATCTTGGACTTAATGTAGATTTTTGCCCTTAGGTTTGTCTTTAGAAACAAGGCACTAAATGAATATAAGCATTGAGGCGAGTTAATCGAGTTTCCAGGCTGAGGACATTCTGTCTTGGAACAACGAATCTTAGAGCACATATTCTGTATATGTGTGTTTAGTGTCCTTTTTTCTTCCCCCCCCCAAAAAGTATGCTAAAGTAATTTTGTCTGTGCTAGATTGAAGTAATTTAAAACTAGCGTGACACTGATAACTTACTTAAAAATTGTCGAGAACTATATGTAACAGGGAATAAATTTGAATTATTGAAATATGAAACTTGTATTATATCATTTTAATAGATTTTACTCAAACTGTAACACAAAGTGTTAGAACATTTTGCATAGTTCAGACTTATTTATTTTCAAAGACTCCTTGATTACAAGCTCCAGAAATAGTTATAGTAGTTTGGTGGCCAGTATAAGACATTAAATTATAAGACATTCTGGTAAAACATCACATCAGAGATCTATGTACAGCTGATTGCTGTGCAGTTACCTGGCAAAAATAACATGAGATTTACCCTGAATTGTTTCATCAGAGAAATAACCTGTGAAGTTAATGTATAGAAAAAATTACATAATTCTTGGCTGCCACTGGTACGTTGACCAAACCTCTGGTGCCGATGTGGTTGTGCCAGTGAACACTTGGTTTGTTACTGGGAGAGATGGGGTGATACTGCTGGCAAAGAAATGCCTTTCTTTTGCATATGTAGTAAGTGTCTGATAATAAAGCTGCTTGCTGTGTACACAGGACCTCGACATTTCTGAACCCAGAATGCAATCACTGTTTTTGCCTAGTAAAGACTTGCAAAGACAAAGCCCATTTCAAACACCTAGCTTGTGATTCATGCACGTGCATGAGCAGTTCTGCATCAAGTGGGACTGCAGCAGTGGGCAGGTGTAGCACAGAGCACTGCACCAGTACCTGATGTGCATCTTTCTTCTAGTCTGAGCAGGAAGTGCGAATTACTCAGAGTGAATTTGACCGTCAAGCAGAGATTACCAGGCTGCTGCTGGAAGGAATCAGCAGCACACATGTGAGTACCCAAAAAGTGTTGAGGGGGGAAGACAATACCTGGGCACCTTCTAAAAGTAGCTGCAGTGAACTGCTTGGGAATTCTGGTCTATGAGATTTCACTTCAGTGCATTAAAGTATCAAACCTCAAGGGTTGGGTTTTTTTGCTTGATTTTTTTGTTTGTTTTGGGTTTGGTTTTTTTTTGTGTTTTTTTTTTTTTTTTTTTTTTTTTGGTTTGGTTTAGTTTTTTTTTAATTCTAATTTTTAATTCTAATTTAATATTAAATTTTAAAATTCTTATTTAATATTTAATTTCCCATTAACCTTTAGAATGCAAGAGCTTTTGTTTTCATTCTTTATACCCAGCTTGCTATTTATCAGATCAATTGAGTGTTGAAACCACAAAAACGTTTATTCAAGTATGTTAATTTTTGTGATGTTTTATCCTGTTTACTTGGTAAATCCAGGCACTATGCCTATCTGGTGTTTATCCTTAAGTGCCAGTATTGGCATTGGCACCTATGAGGAGGTGCCTAGTCTTTGTAATGCAGCATGGTGCCCTTTTAGACTAAACACTGGAATTCTTTGCTGTGTTACAGGCACATCATCTCCGCTGTCTGAATGACTTTGTTGAAGCTCAGATGACCTATTATGCACAATGCTACCAATATATGTTGGATCTCCAGAAACAACTTGGAAGGTAATACTGTATAAATGTCAGGAAAAAGCTCAGGTTTTTGATAAATGCTTATGAATAGTAGGAAAACTTACACAGATATAACAATGGTGAACACACAGGCATGCCAGACTGAAAGAAAATGTGTCTATTCTCAGGTAATTAATATGTAATTACCCAGTGCACCTACTTCCCTAAGCCTACACACAGCACTAATGCTTTTTGAGAGTTGATCTACTGAGATTTTATATATTGTGTAATTGAGGAAGGTGAGCTCTTGGTAACCTCATTTAATGTGACTAAAAGGAATTTCTAGAGATTTATTTGTAATTATTCACTTGTCTTATGCTTCATGCTACTAAACCACTGTGCAATGTGGGAGAAGTTTTTATACTTCCTATACATTCCTGTTGCCTCTTAATTTGCTACAGATCATATCTGATTTTTCTGATGGAACCCTGTTCTCAACTCTTAACTGAGTTGCCAGCATAGATACTGTATAGGGGAGAATCTACTTCATCCTATCTATTATCCAGAGCACAAACAGTAGAATGAACAAGTTTGTCTTGTTTTACTGTTTCATGGGTTTAGCATTTTTAAAGCAAGAGAAGAAACTGATATTAGTTTGTGCTCTTAATTCTTTTTGGGTGATTGGTGGGAATGTAGAGAGATTTACATTCTTACACTTCATTAAGTTTCTCAATTTTAATTCTTCACAAATTACCCTTTCTTAGAGTTACACAGGTCGTGTAATTTACATGAGTGCACGCACTGGGGAATTGTCTGTACTCAGTTTACTGTAGTGTCTGTTCTAGGTAACTGTCTCTGAGGGCTCTCTGTTTATGTTTTCTCTGACAAGGAAGTAAAAACAAGTGTTCTTGAGTCTTATCCTTTTCCTGACTTGCAACTTCCTGTGGCATTTGATTTCCTCAGTTTGTTTAAATGTATAGTTTAAAGACCTTTTTTTAGTCTTGAAAAAGACTTTAAACTACTAAATTGTAGTTTAAAGTATTTGAAACTTCAATTTTTAAAAAAAGCTACATCTTTAAAGTTACATCCCAATCTCGTATACATTCCAGATATTCAACTATAAAATGTGGTAGCACATAAATACAAGTTGTGGTATTGAAAGCTTGAAATCAAACATTTACAGTATTAAGGAAAAGCAACTTTTAAATAAGCAATTAAATGAAATATATTTACATAACTATTTTGAGAGGATATTTTAAAAATGTGTACTCTTATCCTAGCATATTTATCAAACAGCCTTAAACATAATACCCTTATTCTAAGGAAGAACATATTCCTCTTTAAATTGTTTTAGAATGTATAGCTTGTTCAAGAACTGCTGATTTTGTTTAAAATTTGTGTAAACTGCTACCAGGTATTTTAAAAAGTCTATTTGAAAAAATAGTGCCCTTAGGAAGACAGAAGGATGTATCTTTATGTGGCTGTGATCTGATTAGTTTTTTAATAAAATTACTATGACTGGTAGAAGACCAAAAAAGCATGGAAGCTTTGTAAAATTCTAAATGTCTCTAAGAGTGAAATGAAGCTTCTCTGCCTACGTGGATTAAAATAGTTATGGTATTAAATCTTGGGTGTGTCTTTCCTTCCTTGTGCAAGGAAATCCCACTGAAGTATAAGAGGGAGCACTGGGACAGGGTCTCAGGTTGTGCTCCTTGCTTAGGAAGTGTCTCCATTTATAGGGATGTGGTGTGTAGCCCTTGCATTAAACAAGCAGATGGGTTGGGTTTGTTCTGTGCTCCTGAGGTTATGCAGGCATGAACAGACCAAATAAACAACTTGGGCAGCTCAGCTAGATTTTGTTTGTCAAAAACAAACACAGCCAGTGCTGTGTTGGTTAACACATAGTGCTGAGTTACACAACTTTTCACACTTCTAAGAGTGACATTGTGCCATATTCTCATATAAAAGCCAAGAACTGTGAAGGACTGAGTTTCCTTCTGAGGTTGTTGATGCACCAGAGGCATTCAGCTTCTAAGTGAGTTCAGTTTGTTACTTGAAATGGAAACCTGGTTCTCAGAGGAGATGCATATTATGTTTTACCTGGGTCAGAACCTAGGGGATAAACCCCTTCCTGGTTCCAAAGCTGAGCACTGATCTTCCTGATGTACACTCCAGAGGCAGCTGTAAGGAAGGTGGGGAAAAACTTGTACTCAATTCTCTTTATATAAATAGACATGTTTTTATGGATGTTTCTCTTCAAGGCAGCACCAGCTGCTTATCTCTGTACTGCCTTGCCCTCCTGTGAGGCTGGATTGATTCTTTGAATCAAATCTCCCTTTTTTCTTATTTTCAGTTCCTCAGAATGAACTAAACAAATCTGTTTCAAATATTCTGGTGCTCTGGCTGCTTTTTTTCTTCCTGATAACTGCTTTTGCTCTGAAGTTTCTCAGCTTCCCTGATAGACAAATGTAAGCTGTGGCATAAATTTTTTTTCAGGTTACCTATTACTAGTATCTTACTCTACAAGCCGTGCAATTCCTGTTATTCAAGCATTCAAAATAAAAAACCCTGAAACAGACAACCTCTGTATAGCTGAAGGCTTACAGTAAAATGCCTTACATATGGCTTTGCAAAAGGAGTGAGACTTAATGCCCCACTGATTGACAGAGTGATTATAAAGTTTTGGCTTTCTGTTCCACTGACTATACAAACCAGTGACCCTTTGAACTGAGCAGAATGGCTTACAGGTAATGACTGTGTTAACTGAGAACAGGTTTAGCAGTATATTAAACGGTCATTTAGCAATATTGAGAAACAGCTGATTGTCATTTAAAATTAAATCACTCTGGTTGAATGCCAGCTAATCAAGTAATAAATACATGATGAGGTACAGCTGAGTTATACCTACAGAAACGTGGGGTCTGGTTTTGGCTCCCTTTGTTCTGCTTGTTTGATTTGTTCAGGGAGCATGATGAACTTGTTTGAAAAACTAATCTAGCAAATGGAAAAAAAAATTTGGTGGAGTTGCAGTCTCTTGTTGGTGAGTTGAACCAGCTCTTTATGATGAAGTGGGGTCAAGGTAAACCAGAGGGGGAAGTGGGATTTCCTCCTTTGCACAGTAGTAGTAAGCTGCTACCTAAATTCAGAACAATTTCCTGAAAGTCTTCCCAATTTTTCCATGCAATTTTGTCTGACTGTCAAGGGGCTAGTGGTGTCCTTCATGTTACACTGCTGCTCTTTCCTTTCAGTCAGATACAATTGTGACTGCAAGGTGAACATGTTTAAAAAGCTATTCTTATGGAAAGTTAGTAATCTTCCTGATTTTTGGTTAGTTCAGATTGTTGAATCAAAAGCAGCAGATTGCTAGATCTGACTCAAATGATAGAGAATGAACATTTGTGCAAAAAAGGGATATAGGAATGGGTCCACCCTGTTGGGTGGCACTGTGCATTTACCAGGTTAATTATAGTGTGAACCTGGAACCTTGTGTGCAGGACTGCTGCAGCTGTTACAGATATGAGCTGCATTATTGCCACATGAGCCAAAAGTTAGTTGCTGCATTGATGGGTTTAGTTTTTACCTGCATCAGCTCACTAAAACTGTTCCTCTTGTGATCATATGAACACCAGTAATGCTGCAGATATGGTTATGGGAATATACTGGTCTGGATTTACATGAGTAGAGTTGCCACTGAACTGCACCTTCAGAAAGAATCTGACTGGGCAGTGAGGTGGGAAGGGATGATATGAAGCTGTTTTCTGGTGGGTTCATATGTGTGGTATAGATAGATCTTCCTTATATCAAAAGAGCAGGCAAAAAGGAGGGGGAGGCAATGTGCCTTTATCCCAGATGTTAATGAAAAAGCATCTATGGAAGGACTGAGGGAAGTTCATGTAGGAATTTAGTGGTCAAAAGAATAGAAGGAAATGCAACTAAGTTCCAGGTCATTATGACTCAGTCTGACTCCTAGTTGCTGGCCCTTTTTTACTGCTCAGCTCTGCCACTTTTTAAAACCTCTCTTGACCTACTCTTAAGGTAAAATCGAGATGGGTGATAGAACCAAGTAAGGGAGCAAAGACACAAGAAATTGTTACATCAGCTGCTAAATATGAGTTTGGTCTGCCATGGAGCTGCATCCCAGAATGTAGGGCAGAATGACATGAGGCATTCTCAGAGCTCATCATTGCTGCTCCATTCTTCCTACTCCACTGCCCCAAAAGCTGCTTTGCTCCCCTTTTTGCTCCTTCTATTTTTCAGTCATGTTATTTTGTGCTTTCCCTTGTATCTGCTCTGTCACTCATAACAGTTTTTTGTGACTGAGCTCATTAACTAAGTAGGAGATTATACACTTTTTTCCTCTCTTTTTCAGTCAGGTTAATGAGTTTAATTGACTTCATGGCAGGGTCTGGCAAGCACTGCAGCTGGCACAGAGCATGTAGCAGCCTGACCTAGAAATGAGGAGCTTAAGTTGATAGAAGTTCATTTTTAGTGCAAAAAATATTTTTTGTTTTACAGCATGAAGTTAGCTGAATCAATGAACTGATTTAGATTACAAGAGTAGTTGTGTGGTTTTTCTTGCTTTCAGAGCGAGCCTGTGGTTTTAAGTTGTATTATATTTCCCTGATCTGGTTCGTCAGCACAATCTTTTGTGTAACCACATAATTGAGGAATGAGCAGGAGGAGGTGGAGGCTACTTTTCCTGGCAGAGCTGTCAAAAGAAATGTTTATCAAAGTACAGTCTGAATTAAGTTTGACCAACAGTGCTTTCTTAGTTTTGCCTTCAAGAGACAAACATCCAGCGTTTTAAAGGTGGCAGTATTTATTTTAAATTATATTGATTTGATTTATGCTGCTTATCAGGAACAAATATCTTTATTTATGCTATACAACTCTCAGTGCTGTTGTCATACTGCTGTCTACTGGTGCTTATTTCTGATAAAAATAAGAAAGCTAATTTAGGCATGGGAGCATATATAATGCCCTATGTAAAATAGATTAACTGAGAAATCTTTTTTTTAATTTTTTCTCTCACAGCTTTCCATCTACTTTCCTCTCTAACAACAATCAGTCTTCCACAACTCCTGTGCAGAGTGTTTCTTCTCCCTCAGTCTTGGCCTCAGCCTCTGCTTCATTGCCTTCAGTAAGCAATTCAATGGTTACTTCAGGCCTCAGTGAACTGAAGTCATCAAGTGGCAGCAGAAAAGCAAGAGTTCTCTATGATTATGATGCTGCAAACAGCAGTGAATTATCTCTACTTGCAGATGAGGTAAGAATTTCCTGAATCACTTGAAAGTAAAATGGGAATGCTTGTGAGTAGCCAGTTCAAAAAATCTGTGTAGTTTATTTTAGTCTGTGTAGTTTATTTTTTAAAATTAAATTTCAGTAATACCCTTGGAGCATTGTCCTGTACCTACATATCCTAATAGTCTCAACATCTGTGACACCCTCTCAGCTTGCAAGAACATTTGCTAGGCAGTCAAGATGCAGTTCTGCTGCCTACTTTTCACCACACCTTTAGCACTATTATCAATATGATTAGTCATCCAAAACGTTGAATATTGCAATTTGGGAAGAATATGGAAACACAACTACTTCTTGCTTTGATGGTGAAGGTTGTGCTGTGTTTATCCCTGTTCCAGTTCAGATGCAGTCATAAGTCAGAGATTCTATACAAAGCAGATGGAGATAGATGATGAAGCACAGTGCTGGAACAGAGTTCCACCTGGTAAAGCAAATGTAGCTTAATACTGAAGAAGAAAATAAAAATAAGATAAGAATTTTTGGATTTTAAAATATTCATTACTTCAGTATTTTTATTTGACTTTTTTCTTATCTAGAGTGACTTAGATAGAAGCTGTGGGCTCAGATTTTCTGTGAAGATATAGCACAACACCATCTGTCTTTCTATCATGCACTCCACAGAAGTTTCTTTTAGGTTACCTGTTTAGGCTGAGGGTGGATACACAAAATTTAAAGATAGAGCATAATAGAAAATAAACAGTAATGAATAAAATTTCAACAAAGTGCTTTAAAATATGACACTGTCTCTTCTTTTCCATGGACCAGTGAAATAATTTTTATGAGCATTAGACTATGTTCCATGGATGCTCATATTAAATGCTCTGTTTAAGCAGGTTAATCTCGATTCCAAGACACTGGAAATCACATGAAGATAGATGTGAACTCTCTTCCTTGCAAACAAAGTTTATAATAATGTGTTTCTCTTTTTGTAGGTGATAACAGTGTACAGTATCCCTGGCATGGATTCAGACTGGCTGATGGGTGAAAGGGGAAATCAGAAAGGCAAAGTGCCTATTACTTATTTAGAACTGCTAAACTAAATGGTTGGCCTGAATAGAGACTGTCAATTATGGCAACAACATATTTATATACAATTAACGTTATGTAAGCAGGTTTATGTGTCTTCCATGTTATTGTCTTGAGGGACAAATACCAGCCATTAAAAACTGGCTTTTCTGCCAGCATGGTTGCACGGTCAATACTCTATTCAAACTTAATGTGTTTAAAGCTTTTACTTCATGTGCCAAGAACGTTTCCTACAGATTTGTTTCTACTGAAGTTTTCACTAATACAAGCTTCTACTTTTGAGTAATCTAGATTGAAAGCAGGAGGTACTGTTTTCTACTGAAATTTTTCATTAATGGCAAAGCTTTTCTTCACATGAAATAAACTTATTGTGAACTGATGCAGGTGTAATGCATGTTATTTGAATAACCAAAACCAAATGTGAAACATAAACCATGTGGTTCTGTTCCCAGCACCAGTGGAGCTCAGCTGTGCTGAGGCACGCTTGGCTTCTGCTGTCTTGCACATTTAGTCACTCTGAAAACTTTAGGCAAGTTCCCAGTTTGCTGAGATTTTAAGCTGCATGTAGGTGGATGGACACAAAGTAGGGACACACATTCTGACTTGTTTTTAACCTTGTCTTGTATTTTTTTCCTTTAATTGCTTTCCAGAAAAGAGTCTAATTCAGTTTGATTAGTAATTATAAAAATTCTTTCAACTGTAAGTCAGCCTTTATGTTAAATTAAGCACTGCATTTTGCTAACCAAATATGTACTGTCTTCCTACGTTTAAGTAGTTGTATAGATGAGAATACAATTGTTCAGATTATAGGTTGTAATGAAATTCTGCATCCCTACTTCTTATGCAACAGTTTATTGTCATGTTCTAATTGGATTCAATTAGTGGTAGGCATTTTGCTTTGCAAGAGAATCTCCTTTCAGTGCAGGAAGGAAAAAATGTTTTGAATATAAGAATGGCTTTATCAAAGGTAATATTATTTGTAAATTAAAAAAAAAATTCCTAAACACTGCACCCTTTAGCGTTTCATAAGTAGCAGATTTTTAAGGCTGTAAAAAGATTTAAAAAGTATAGTAGAGGGGAATCTTCCTTTCATTCTTTTCTTTTAGTTTCAATATATTTAGTTAATTGGACATGTGGAAGGAAAGGGTTGGACTTGTAGAAGGAAACTCTGTCCATCAAGAAGGAAATTCTTCTCCTCGCAGGTGATGCAACATTACCAGAAGTCCACTTTAGCTCTGAGGGAACACTGGTATGATGCTTAGCTAACTAATTCTGAGCAGCAACTTTGTTTGCAATGACATTTCCTTAACACATTTTGACGTTGTCATTACAAGCACGTAGTGATGAAACATTCAGCAATTGAAATTACTTTAGTGGGATGGATAAAACTATATTAATTTAGATGTTATGGCTGTTTAATTAAAAAGTGATGACTTTTATTTTGAATTTCACTTCCAAAAATATTCTTTCATTTTTTTGAGTGCAGAAGTTACATGGAAACAAATATATTACATTGGTTCATCAATTGCAACCTTCTTGGGATAACTACCAAGAAAATCCTAAATGCGTTCTGTCTATTAAATGTAAATAATAGCAAGAACAATAATAATAGCTACTGATGAAGTAGAAATGCCCATGAATCATTCATGATGCATTATATAAAATTAATAAGATAATAATAAGAAGAATAAGAACCCTACAGTTTAGAAGTAAAAAGACTGAACCATTTAACCATGTGATGATCTTCTGCAGTCCTCTCTAATGTGAACTGCTATCAAATGTGTTTAAATTAAAATTAATGTTGTTCATTTGACTTAATTTGTAGAGTATTCAAGATAATTTTTAAAAATTGCTATACTGCACTATTTACTTCATATTTGAGTGCAATAAAATGTTACAGAGCAGCATTTTAAATTATGATGGAGATTTAGTGAAATCTGAGTAGTACATCTATGTGAAGGCAACATTTGGCAGCAGTCAAAATTACTTTTTGGTATATGTCAACAGCTTAAGCTGTGTGTGAGAGAAATTGCAGTTGACTCTATCTAAAAAACATGAAAATCCGTATTCTCAGTTGTCCCTATTTCTGTTTAATTTCAGCCCAAAAGTAATTTAAGTAAAGAAACTTGTTACTGTTTTCTCAACCTCACCTATTTTGAGATTCCCTGTTGTACCCCTGAGAAGGGGAGCTGGTAGAACAGTGCTTGTTTGCACTTGTGTTACACTGAAGAGAACTTTACTGCAGGTTGTCCCAAAATTCAAGTCTCTGTGTGTCATTTGGTTGGTAACTTTCAAGCAGAAGTTGACTGATAGTTTTTGGTTTTGGTTGCTGACTCAATCACTTTTGCAACAAATATGAAAGTAACTGATTTTGGCTTTGGGTCTCTTCTTTCTTCGGTTGAATTCCCTGTTTTCTTAGAACAAGCTTTACTGGTTGAAAGGAGAAAAAGTAAACTAGGCCAAAAAAATCCTGTGTGAAAGTTGTAGACATTTATGAAATCAGATTTCAAACGCAGAAAAATATATAGAATATGCATTACCTTACATTTAATAACTGGTTTGGCAAGATAAGTGCATTCAGAATGGATACCTAAGGATGTGTGCAGGCAGGGGATAAATACTTCCATGGCTGCTCAATGTATGTGTTTCTTTTTTCTGTATTCACTGGCATTTTACTTCATTCTAACCAATGCTGAGATTTTGAATAATTTCAGGTAGAGTAGTCATCACATTTATATTCTATAACAAACCTGAGTGAGTCTTCATCACAGCTTATCTCTACTTTCTGTGGCAGATGGGATAATACACAACATCATTAGTGCCAGTAAATTAATACTTTTAGAAAACTACATACTAGTTTTATATAATTTCTGCCATAACTGCTGGTTTTTAATGCTTTCTTAGGCAGGTCAAACTTGAACATTAACTCTTACTGATTCTGAACAGAAATTATGATTTGGACCTCTTGCAAACAGTGGGATTTTTATAATTTTTGTTACTTCTGTTTCTTTCTAGAGTAGTAGTGTATCTTGGAACAAAATTCTTTACCATATGGAAATTTTGACCACAGGTAAACCTATCAGTATGTAGTGTCTAATTGAGACAAATGTGTGGGAAGGTGGAGAATGGAAAAAAATATCCATGGAGTGTGCGACTGTGCAAAGATACTGAACTTAGCATAGAGCTCTGCCCAAACTAATTAATCTTCTGAAATGCAAGCATAATTAGCTCACAAACAGCAGTGTGTTAGTACAGTTCTGTTGCTGCTGGGATTGGAGCTGGCATCTCTGGATCTCATACACAGTACAGGAATGACTGTGCTGCCACAGTGTCACCAGTGCAGGTACCAAATTACTGAACGTTATGGAAGTTGTAGGAAAGGATAGAGTTAAGCCCATATATTCTAGTTGTGAGGATATCCTATATCTTCAAGGAACACTTTAAGGAGAGTTTCTTGTTACAATACAGATGCTGGAGCAGTAGACTAAAGCAGGCATATGAAGATTGAAAAATACGGATTTTAATAACTGTAGGTGCTCTGCTAAAATGAACTCGAGAAAATTGCAAACGAGCTGTTCAGGCAATGACCAGCAAGTCAACAGAACAACATGTCCAACAGAAGCTTCCAAAAGATGGTTGTGATGTTTTTGGAAGAGAAGCAAAGTGGGAAATGCCCAAATGTGAAACCTAAAGACATTTTGACAAAACAATGCAAATAATTGGAGTTGATGCATATGCTTAGCATGGGGCTTACAGTATGTAACCAATGAAAATGTATAGGTGTATTCTGGAACAAAACATTGGCAGAGTAAATGATAAGAGTGATCTAGATTAAATATATATATATGGTAGTTGTAGCTTGATTTTTTTCTTTTCATGCAGGTAGCTATACAATTCAGCTCTAAGTTTGGCCACAAAAGACATCTTCATTATTGCATTTTGATGTATTGTTCTCAGCAGAAGAAACTTACATGAAGTTTCACTTTTAAATCTGGCCCAGGGGAAAAGGTAACATTAAAACTGTTTTGGTTTTGATATCAATAACACATTTAGAGTTTAATCTGGGAATTAATTGTAAATCATTAGATTAAATGAGATTAAATAGAAATTAATTAGTTTGATTATCAGCACTGAATAATGGCCACTTGGATCTGAACACCATCCTTGAAGATTTGTGCAGGAGTGACCTAAGCTATATTCTAGGAGTCTAGCTGCAATAATACACAGAGAATTAGTTAATTTGCTCTATAGTGGTTCAAAATAACTAGCAATACAAAATCTCAGTGTACTATAGGTAACTCGAGTCTATCTGCAGAATGTGGGGTTTCATATGTTATAGCTGGGCTTCCCAATCTCCTCCTAAAAGAATGCTTTCTACCAAGCACTTCATCAAAATTCAGTCTGATAGTTTGACAAATGGTTTTTGCTCATCCTTAATACTTGTACTGTGAATACATAGAGCCACTTTAAAGATCAATTATCATTTTAATATTCCATGACAATGCTTTTTATTATGGTCTCAATCAGTCATGCCACAAAATAAACATAGGAAGTACAACATATGTAGCTACTTTTGTCAGAAAATGATGATCTTTGTTGCTTGCTTTCTGTGACAAGTTTCTGCTGTCAGCAGTCTCTCTGTCTGGCTTTTTGACTTGACAACACCACAAAGTCATAATGATGTTCCCTTTCAAGCACAGGCATTTGATCGTTTGTGCTGACCCCAACAAGTACCAGTGCTATTAAATACAAAGCACTATGAAGGTACCCCAGCAGAACCCACTGGGGATATGGGTTGCTTTGTGAGGGTTTAGTTTTCTTCAGGAGTCATTATATCTTCCAGTGTTAAGACACTATGCTAAAATTCGAAGTTTAATATGACTTGAACTCTCCTTTGTGTAGAACCTTTATAGCATAATGCCAGTAATCACTGAAAGATACATTTAAGATACAATAAATTTAACAACTAAATTAGGGGCATGCTTTTCGATCAGTGGTGGCCAACGTCTCAGTTACTAGGAATTAGTCTGACCACACCATCTAATTTGTCAAAAAATAATTCTCCTGATTTTCTTTGTATCTGGTGGTACTAAATACAGAGGTGCCTTGAATTTATATTTTGTCTTCCTTTTTTTTGCTTATTCCCAAGGCTGACTCTTGCTATGAAACTGGCCATTAAGGCTTTCAGAATACTTCCCCCCAAAAATGAACCCAAGTATTTAGGAGTAAATAAGTAGCTCCAGTAGGCAGGAATTGCTAATTCCTAGAGTCCTGTATTGGAAGAAAGCCTGAGTACAATCTGATGGAGATTTTTTACACATGCACCAGTCAGAGAGACAGGTTTGTTACATTTCTTCTTGCAGTGTGTACAAAATGCTC